AATCTCCAAAACGGCTGGACCGATTTTGACAGGATTTTCACTGGCAGATAGCTGATGTCACAAGGAGTAGCTTAGGCTACTTTTATTTTAGAAAAAGAATTAGGGTTCCGTGCAAAGAATTTAAAACCCCAAATAACACGCGTTCGAAGTCGCGGCGAACAGCTTGTCCCTAATAAATATGTAGGAAGCTAGTCCTAGTACTTTTTATAATTTTGTGCTTTACGATTTGTGGTCCTAGATCCAAACCATAAAAATACAAAAATCGATATTTGTCAATGTCAAGTATCAACAATCAACATACACTGGGTAGAGTTGTTTATTAAAAGTTATAACTGATAATTTAATCCATTCAAAATAATGATTTCTTATATTTACGCGAACACTACACATTTAAATGAAACTAATTTTACGGATTTTATCGCGTATATTAACTTATTTTACATTCACGACGTTTCAAGCACTTTACAGCACCCATGGTCACGGGGGGGACTGAGGTGTATGACGTCCCAATGTCATAGTTAACCACGGCTACCACCAGATTAAAAAATTATTAATTTTTGTTCCGATCTACGCAGTATGAACTTACAGTATCATGAAGTCTTGCAGTTGTATGCTTGGGTTGGGATTTAATTTTATTAATTATGGGATCCCAAGCAGATGGTAGCACCCAGATGGCTGGGTGCTACCATCTGCTTGGGATCTACTAGTTAGTCACTAGTAGATTCGACCCGTTCTTATAGTTCTGATGAGGTGTAACAGTAAAAATGTGAACTGTGTTTTTGCCATAATTTGAAACTATTTTCAATGACTTGATAATAACAATAATATTTGTAAAAAGACCATCATTATATGAACGTTCAGAACTGAATAATAATGACAAAACAAACACGTTTTATAAACTTATTAAAAATTATATTTTTAACTGTGGCGGCGCTGTCGTCGCGCCACAAGCGAAACACATCCAAGGCTAAATCGCACTAACAAAGTTCCGAAGTTAAAGCAGCATATATAGAATAGCTCCGAACTACCAATCGGAGCGTTGGCCGCTCCCCAGGCAGAACACCTTGCCCGGCGGGAGATCTCACCTTTTCCTTCCACCGGCCACAGTGGTGACCCCGACGTGATCTGAACACGCAACCAATAACCTTCGTAGAACACACTTCAAAAACCTTCGTCATCGTCCTCGATTACCCCATTCACTCGCTCCTGAGCAGATATTGTCTGCAGTCTTCACATTCTGCAAGCCATCTAGCTTTACAAAGTTTCATCGCAGCACTGGAAAAAGAATGCTTCCTGTTCCTTCAAGCTACTCTCTGCGCTACAGTGTTTGGCACGGCTCTAAGCCTTACTGCGCGCCTATGCTTCACGGCACTCTGGCAGATTACTTGTCTTCTTCTTGACTCACCGCAGACTACAAGGCAATCCCTGGCACTTGCTCCGGCTCATCGTTCTCACCAGCATCACTTGCAAGTACGTAATACGGCATGCATTACACACCGACATATAATTCGCACCGGCTTCACTTGCCCTTACGCACACAGCATGCATTACCCACCAGTATTAAGGACGCACCGGCAATCGGACTGCACTATCGACCTCCGGTCTGAGCAGGGTTTGATGTGGCGGCGCTGTCGTCGCGCCACAAGCGAAACACATCGAAGCCTAAATCGCACTAACAAAGTTCCGAAGTTAAAGCAGCATATTATATAGAATAGCTCCGAACTACCAATCGGAACGTTGGCCGCTCCCCAGGCAGAACACCTTGCTCGGTGGGGGATCTCCCCTTTTTCTTCCACCGGCCACATTACTTTTAATTTAACAGTTTATTTATTTTTATTATCAATTTATAACATTAATGATAACGTAAGAAAAACGAGCACTTGGAAGCGCCAGCCAAAGAGTATAATATAATCACTATGTTTTGTCACCAGTCTTCCTGGGCCCACCGGTGGTTTTCTTTTATTGGTCCGTTGCCAAACAAAATGTCGGCCACAGAATGTAGGAAGATGTACCGGACATCATAAAACCTACACTCGGCTTTGGTAGGTGTATTTTGAATTAGATTTTGATAACCATGTAATGACGGTGTAAGGATATCCACAAAGGGAAACTGAAACAGCAGTTTCAACTGTCTCCCTATTGCGGATCATGAGATACAGCCTGCTGACAGATATATGGACGGACCAACGGAGGGACGGACAGCGGAGGCTTAGTAATAGGTAATAGGCTTAGTAGTAGGTATAATAGATCTGCGAATAACTTAAGCGCAGTATCCTCTTAGTCACAATCTTAGGATAGTATATTCTAAGTCTATGCCTCTTAGTAGCCTGTGACTTGAACTTAGGTCATTGGTGAAGACGTTTTTGGCGGGAACTTGACCGGCGACGGATTGTTGCTCCTGTATTATTGTTTAAATAATGGTTTGAAGTGAAATTTGATATGAAAAAGTGGTGCGATTTTGTGTATTAAGTGTCTGCGCATGTGAACTATTAGTGGAAACAGTGATACAAGTGCTCTGATGGTGATGTGATTCTCAAGATAAGGTATCTGTCTGCTTAGGCGCCTTGAGATACGATCGCCAACTATCAGCTCTCTGCTGGCTCAAGTTACCGTCAAGGGTTGCACAATGTGACGCATCAACTTATTGTGAAGCAGTGTACTATGCCCTGTACAACATAGCTTGATCTTTTTGACAGATGGGTCTAGTAATGGGAAAGAGAAAATATCTAGTATTGCAAAAAATAACGTTTTTATATAGGTACTTGTAACTATGATGAGATAGTGTGACTGTATGTATGTTTTAATCTATTCAAAATAAATTAATTCATTCATCAATCAACTTTATTGCACTAGACATATTAAAAACATTGGGTTCGTGTTCGAATTCAAATCAAGGTTGAAGAATAAAATATAATTTTCTCTTTAAACACAGTTGTAATCAGGAAGAGAAGCACAACCAAGATTTTCATCGTCGGAGTCGTTGTTGCTAAATCAATAAAAATGATTTTAAATAAGGCTTCTTTGTAACCGATATTTGTAACAGTTACTGCCTGTTATTTGTGTCCTACCCGACCGACCGATGTAACATTGCACGAGCGTCCATTTTTTTCAGTTTTTCTATTCAACTCTTACTTTGAAGCCCCCCCCCCCCCCTACCCCAGCCTACGAATTTAGAGTATATATATAAAAAATACTGAAAGATGTAGTTCAAATAGCACATCTCAAAAATATTAATTATATAAAAACTACATGGGTGCAGTAGTTTAGAAATAAGAAATAGTTAAAGATCGCTCACCTTATAACATTGATGTAACTCCAAATAATTAGAATTGGATACTTTTTGCTATATAGAAAAAACTGCACCTTGCTTGAGTAATTCCACCGTCGTTAAAAATGCATAAAATGCAATATTAAGTGCAAAAAGTTAATAAAACCAAATTTGTTAAATGTCTAATGCACCCCCACTACCACAGCCTACAATTTTTGTGTATTTATATAAAAAAAAACTGACATACTTATTTCTAATAGCACATATCAAAAATACTTTTGCTTTTTGACATCAAAGTTGGCTTGAAAAGTAGAACACAGTCCACATCCACGTTGATTAACGCTCACATCAAAGTGCGCTTTGATTGCTCGTTAACACGATCAAAGTATCGTCATAGAAGTCATCAAAACCACTTTGTCACAGACTGATCGTGTCAACGCGGCTTTAAGTAATAAGTTATAACAATGAAACCACAAAGTACCTTTATGTATACTGAAATATGTAACTAAATGTGCAATTAGTTTGTGGCACAGAGTACTTTTTATAAACCGGAAGTTTGTGGGCAACTGGGCAAAGAATAAATAGTATTAATAATAAGTTTGTTATATTAGTATGATTAAATATTTACCTATTGTATAATTACCAATGTATATGAAGGGTAAAGGTACCTTTACTTACCTTCCATAGATTGTATAAGTATCTGTTGTCTATAATAAATAATAAAATTGAGATTTCCGTATTACTCTTTGCTGGTTTTCTATTTTAATTTAATAAGAGAGACGTTTATAGGTTAACTTCTTACACATCTATCTATATAAATAAAATGATAGAGTTTTGCAGTTGTGCGGGCATCACGGAAAAACTACTGAATATATTTTTTTTATTAGGTTTCAGAAGTTTTATTTCATAGACACTTGACCCTTACCTAAAAAAAATTATGCGATATCTTCATTTATAGTACGGCCGCTGAGTTATTACCGATTTGACAGATTATTCTTAAATTAATCGATATAACCTTGCACGAGCGACACATTTGCCGAATGATTTAGAATACCTCTTTAATATAAAACTTTAAGTCAAAATGTCAGAATCAACTAATTTTCCAATAAACTCTGTTTCAAAACTTAAAATAGTTTGTAAATAATATGAAAACATTTATTTTTTGTTCTTTGGCGCGCTTGTACAAACTTACATCGTGCGTCTAGTTTTCATAGTGATGTGCTTGATAGTATTCGGTCCGAATTCATTGGAATAGATATGATATTTATTTTATTTGGATATTTTTATTTTACTTATTCCTTCGAGCAACTAGACTATAATGCTACCATTTTTTTGCGTCTCCTAATTGCACTGTGTTGCCAGTACCTCTATGATTTTTAAGATTTATGTGTGATCCAAAGACAGAAATACTGTTTTCTATGATTTAAAAATAAATACAATTAAAATGATTATGTATAATTTTTAACATTCATAATATATAAAACAACATTTAATAAATATAATTTTCTCCCTCAATTAAGCAATGTTATAGGTGTATTTTTTAAGTAATTGGCGATACTATTCTGGCAACACCCTTACCACCGGTATTTTAATCTGTTTAGTCGTCTTCCGTACTCTCGTGCGCACAGACTACGTTCTCTTGTGTAACCGTTGTTTTTTGACTCGGCTTTCTCCTGTTTATCGTTGCGCTTTATTGGACTAATTTTGTTTGTGTTTGGTAATTTTGTTGAAAATGCCGAAACGAGGAAAAACATTGAATAGTCAATGTCGTGAGCTTGTACTAAAGCTACAGGATTACTTTGAGCGTGAGTCACAAAATGGCGGCCCTTTGATTCCTGTCACTCAAGTGAAAAATCGGGTTTCACAAGCTCTTGGAATTGGTGCAAAAACACTATATAATATAAATAAAGAAAAATTTGGTGCTTCTGGAAGTGAAGATAATATTTTACGCACTCCTAAGAAAAAACGAAGACAAAAGCCCGTGACAGGTGTTGATGTTTTTGATGCAGATGCAATAAGAAACCACATATATGGTTATTATACTAGGAACGAGTTTCCAACTAGACGTTTGCTTTTGGTCTCTTTAAAAGAAGCTGGCTTGTTTAAAAGCGGTAAAACGGCGTTGTCAAAACTATTGCACGAAATTGGGTTTGAATATAAAAAAACGAATAAAAGGAAAATATTAATGGAAAGATTTGATTTAATAATTAAAAGGAGCGAGTTTTTAAGAGAAGCCAGAAAAATCGAGTCTTGGGACAACGTCGTTTTTGTTGACGAAACATGGTTAAATGCGAACCACACTGTGTCACGCTCTTGGACTGACGAAACAAAAGCATCAACCTCAAAGGTTCCAATTGGAAAAGGATCGCGACTGATAATTTGTCACGCCGGTTCTGCTGGAAGTGGTTTCTTTGAAAATGGACTGCTGGCTTTCGCGTCAAAAAGTACTTCCGATTACCACGAGGAGATGGATACAGACACTTTTACGAATTGGTTCGAAAATCAATTATTACCCAGCCTGCCAGAGCCTTCTATCATAATAATGGACAACGCTTCATATCACTCGAAACAAGTGAATAAAGCGCCTACTCAGGCCGACAAGAATGCTGATCTCGTAGCATGGCTATACCAAAATGGAATTGAAACTACTGCCGAAATGCTAAAGTCTGACTTAGTAAAGTTGGTACGCGAAAATAAAACATCAAGAGTCCGTTATGAAGTAGATGAGATAGCTCTAGCACATGGACATCGGGTACTTCGAATTCCGCCCTATCACTGCCAGTACAATGTCATTGAGCTAATATGGGCACAAATCAAAGGTATTGTTTTTTATCGCATAAGTTATGAATATGAATAATTTGTACTATTATAACATCCAATATTCAGCATATAAGTAAAAAGATACATAACTAAGAAATAAATATCTCATGTCTCTTACATGTAGGTAATTGTGTAACATTTCGTTTATTTTATGTAATAAATTAACGTTATTTAATGTTTACATTACAGGTTACGCAGCTCGTAATAATACGACTCTGCCATTCAGTACTAATAAAATGATGGGTCTATTAAAAGATGCTTGCAGCAAAATAACGAAAGAAGATTGGGTCAAGGTCGTCGAAAAGACTCGAAAACTAATAACAGAAGATTATGAACGCGATATAAGAGTGGACACCATTATAGAGAATGAAATTGTCATACAAGTGACTGATAGCGATGACAGCTCTGGCGAATCTGGTTCAGAGTCTGAATAATTGTTTTAATAAATGATAGGTAGTCATTTATTAAAACATCTTGTACCTACTCTATTCATTAAAATGTGTAACAGTGTTTACAAATTTGTTTTATTTTGATATGTCCTCGACCAATTATCTACGCCCATCAAGGTTACTCCACCTAATAAAGAACCTGTGTCTTTAACTATTATTGTTTTGATTTTATTTAATTACACACTATACTAGAATATTTAAAAACAAACTGTTCCCAAATGATATTAGGGTTACTGGTTCAGTCACTTCACTAGTATTGTCAATTCGTCATGTGTCAAATCGGTAATAACTCAGCGGCCGGACTATAATATAAAAGTTTTAATAACGGACGAAGTCGTCGGTATCAGCTAGATTTCCAATAAAAAAAAAATGATCTGCGTAGATTTGCTACTAATGAGGCAAATAAAGAAAACCTCGGAAGATAAAAATCCTATACTATACATTTCTACGCCGTGCCTGCATCAATCCCCCGTATGCATTCGATGCTTATCATTTTACTAACTTTTTGCACTTAATATTACATTTTATGCATTTATAACGGTGGTGGTTATATTCAAGAAGGGTGCAGTTTTTTTCATATCGTAAAAAGTACCCAATTCTCATTATTTGAAGTAATCTTTCAGTATTTTTTTTTTATAAATATACTCAAAATTCGTAGGCTGGGTTAGGGGGGGTTACTTTGAAGCAATAAAAACCACTAAGATTTTCGTAAAATGCTTGAATCTTTAATACTTTTGTATTGTGTTTCTAGTTTTAAAATTTTTAACAATTTTTAAAATTATTTAAATAAGAAAATATTATGTTCGTCGTTGCAAAATTATTTCGATCGCAAATTAGACATCTCTCAAAAAGATCAAGCTATGTTGTGCAGAGTATATAAAGGATAATTATTATACATTGTTTTTTTAGGCTCCGAAGGGCTAGAACCCAGAGCCTTAAAGCCAGTTATAAAAACTAATAATTGGTGAAGAATGTAGAGAGAGATTGAACTATACTCATTGTTATAAGAAAAATAGTATACTATACTCCCTCTACGGTGAAGATCAACAATTTTATTTGAATTATGGAGTGTAGAGTAGAAGGAGGACCATCTTTGTATATGAAAAGTGTCCCTAAAAACGCGTCCAATAAGGGTGGCGCTGCAGTAGCATAGGATAAATTAAAAAAAAACCGCCAAAATTTATTAGAATAAGATGGAGAAATAAACAAGGACCGACCAATCCGCTTGGTTTTGTACTACATAAATAGTTGAGATTTTGTATACTGGCATTTTACTAACTACTCTAGTCATGAAATTTTATAAATATTTTAATTCAGCTGACTTCACTCCGTCTACAACAGCTATATTCATATCGTAGTTTTTCAGACAACAGCGCAATTGTGGTAGGTTTTGGACCTCTATTTTCAGTATATATTGGGACACTTTTTCAACTTTCGCACCTTATAAGATGGTTCTCCTTCTACTCTACACTCCATAATTTGAATTGACAGTGGACACTGACAAACTTTGAGCATAGAAAATAGTTCTATGCTCCAAGCTGACAAATGACAATAATTGTCATTTGTCAGCTCTGTCAATTATTGACACTGACAACCACCATAACAATTCAATACAAATACATAGGACAAAAAGTTTAGCGGTACAAAGCAACTTGTAAATAAATGTGTATTTTATCTTAAAATAAATGTGTTATCGTTGACCACTTTAAACCACACGGCATTAACGATCCCTTTGAATTACTATTATGACGTTAATATTAGTGTTTTATTTAAAATATTAGTATTAAATTAATGATAAATTTAGATGCTATATGGTTTAGTTTCTGTTAATATATTTAAAAGTAATAATATTCGACATTCGCGAGAATGATACCTTCTAACACAATTTGCGTATCGCAAGAGGGTCCCGCAAATGCGTTAGCTTTGAATAAAGACTGTTCACAAGTAGTAATTGCTGGAAGAAATGGTAATACAGTACAAATGTATTTTTAAATATATGATACAAATATTTAAATACGTTTACTAAATATGAATTTAATTGAATGTTCACTTATTTTCAGTTTTTAAAGTGTTCTCTATAGGCGAGAATGACTTTTCCGAGGTGTGTAATCTAAGAGTGGGGAAAAATTTGAATTTAAACTTTTCTTCCATTGATGTTGCCTGGAGTACTATTGAAGGTATATGCTAATATTTTAATAATTAGAATGTAATATACAGAAAACAAAGGTATACTCATTGACAATTTAATATAGAAAACACCCTAGCCACAGCAGCAACTAATGGCGCAGTGGTTGTATGGAACCTGGGAAAATCTGGCCGCTCAAAACAGGAACATGTGTTCTCTGATCATAAAAGGACAGTCAATAAGGTGAGAAGATCTTCTTTTTTGTCTTATAAGAAATTTTGATTTATGGATAATTTTAACTAACTTAACAATAAAACAGACTGTAAGTGAAACCTTTTTTAACATTATTATAAGAGAATCAAAAATATTTGAATGTGTATTTCAGATTTTGTTTTTATTTTAATAATCAAATTCAAAACATGTTAATTCAAGTCGTAGTCCACCTTTCTGTTAGATTCAATGAATTTCACAGAAACTGGATTTCTGTTATATGTTATGAATGTTGCTTAAGAATCTGCATGTGAAAAATTTAATTCCAATAATGTGTGTTTTACACTACACATATCCATTAGAGAAACAAAGGAGATGTCAATAACTTCTCATTTTTGAGAATGAGTTGTATTTAACAATCTAACTACTGAGCCATGTACTAGTGGTCAACATGGATAAAACCTTTACTGCAAAGTTATTGATTGGTTTGTTTGTTTTTCAAATAATTGTTTTTGTTATAAAATTTTTTTAGTAAGTATACCACTTTTTTCCATATTCTTATGTATCTTACAAATAAGTTTGAGGGTGGTATCTATCCACTCTCCTAGGCATATCAAAGAGTCTTAAAACCCAGTAAATACTTGATAACCAAATTGATGCCAATATTTAGTTTTTGGGGTTTGAGTAGCATAGTTTTCCAGTTTAGGGGACTATTAGTCCTATCTAATCATGTATACCTGGGACACTAATACATTTTGTTTTTGTGACATCCAAACTGGGGTCATCATCAATATTTTACTTTTTCTGCCGACTTCCAAAAAGGAGACGGTACTCAATTCGACGCATGTTTTTTTTTTAATGTGTTACCTAATAACTTTTTACTGGGTGGACCGATTTTGATGATTTTTTTTTAATATGAAAGCTCATACTTCTCGTGTGGTCCCATATGAAATTGATCAAGGTCAGACCGATAGTTTTTAGGTTATTTGAGTTATTCTTAATAACTTATACTGAAGTCGGTCTTATGATGAACTCCCAAGTTATGGTTAAGGGAAGAGTTATGTGAAAAAAAAGTTGTGTTAGAGTAACATTATTTAAAAAAACAAATAAAATTTTATTTTGAAATAAGTAAGTATTGTAAATTTTTTACAATTTTACCAGGTTAGTTTCCATTTGACTGAGCCATCTCTTCTCATCTCTGGGTCCCAGGATGGTATGATGAAATGCTTCGATCTTCGCATGAAAGAGGTTGCTCGTACTTTTATGAGGTCAGTAGTAGTTACACAAGAAGGTATTCTATTTTAAATCACTGCTATTATGTACTAATTTATGTTGTGAGCTCTGAAAGCTCAGGGCTAAGCGTCTGTCCTAAATCTTACGAAGCAAGCAACCCTGGTTATCAATCGAACTATCCTCAACAGCACCAATAAAATTGTAAATTGCAAATACCATATTAATGCCTGACAAATAAATAAATATATTGAGAACATGTGAAGACGACGCAAATAAGGGCAGTGCGGCAGACTCTTCCCTACTCCAATAACGTCTTCGAAACAAGTGAAGACCCATGCTCAGCTGTGGGACATATATAATAGGCTATTACTTTACTTGACTAACTCCATAGAATAAATAATAGTACAAGAACTTACTGTAAGAAATTACACTGCATTTTACTGTGATTTTACAAAATAATTACAGTAGGTGTACAGTGTAGAGTACAGTACATGTGCACATGAATGTGCATTTTACTAGAAATCTCATACCATCTCGGGCATATTTAGCCCAAGAATACTTTACAGTTTTCAGTTTATTGACTCTCTTGTAGCTTTGTTTTTCTATGATGGCCACTGCTGAATATGGGTCTCTTCCGAGATAATGCTGGCCATACACAACCCCTCACCTCCACTACATTCCACAGCAACACTCCAAAAACCTCTTTACCTTCCATGTGTGCAAAATCTCATGTGGATAAGGTGGAGTAGATATTCAGTAATCTAAAATTGGACATTCTACACTCCACATCCACATTCCAACTCATTGTGTGTGCGAGATACATTCGTTGGTGCCGTAATTCTACACCGAAACTCGCTGTGCATGCTCATCTGCGGGCGATACAACAATCCATTTTTCCATTTTTGGCTTAAATAGCAGCAGTATGTAGCTGTCTGAGACGGTTTTATTTCATGACCAACGTTATGACATCCAACACTTCTGTCAGAGATTTCATATTGACGGGAGTACAAAAATATAAACAGGGACAGTTCACACAAAAAGCTCCTTCTTCAGGAGCCAGTATTTGGTCCGTTTGCGTTTCGATGATGCTTTTTCTTTTTGATATTACACGCCGCAACAGCTGCTAGTAAAAGTTCTGCTTCTGATTCCTTTATGGGACGTTTAGACACACACTTTATACATGTGTGTCTATACAAGTGAAAGGATAAAATTCGCGACGCAGAATGTCCGGGAAATGGAGTGCTGTGGCGTGCCATGGAGTGGAGTGAGAATGTGTGCTCAAAAATTAACCACCAATCGGTCGCCATCATCAACACGCGGAGTGGCCGAAATGGAGTGGTCGTGTATGCCAGACTTAACAATCGGATGTTAAGAAATTTTCACCCCTTGTCTCATGTAGCCGTTGGTACTACGCCTGATCTCGTTCCCATTGTGTCACACTACCGTCCCATCGGAATATGACAGTGAGAAAATAGAAAGTGCACCTGTGCTTGCACATACTCTCGGGAACGATAATCCTGCCCTGCGCAGGCGGTTAGTTAGCGTTGAGACTGGCCGCCGAGACCAGTTCTGTCTGGAGGACATTATTATTATTATTAATCTCATCATCTCACCTATCAGCTGATCCCTCAGATTGTTAATACATTTATTGTTGGCTTCATAACTTTTAAGTGTTTCCCTTAATCTTCATCTATTGGAGAGAATAGGATGGTGGATTAACTTCGACACCACAACATGTCTTTTTTTTTGAAGAATATTAAATAAATATCTCCATTGAGACCAAGGCTTTTGCTTACATGTAAGAAAGTAAAGTTCCTGCCTATATACACTTTGCTATTGTTGAGGAATTCTTAAGAACTATGAAGAAACCCTGAGGAACTCCTGCGACTAACTATAGATCGAACAAGCAATCATTCACTCAGAATTCTTCCACCCAGGGGATAAACCGTATTAGTAATGTAGGAAGCTTGTCCATAAAGCACCCTCTCATTTCAGAAAGGGTTAGCGGACAATTTAGGCTACTGCACTGTTATAGTGCAAGTTGGCGGACTTCACATGACTTTGAAGAATTTTTGTTCTTCAGACATGCATATTTCCTCACGATGTTTTCTTTCACCGCTGAGCAAGTGGTAAAACAGCACCTGTGCAATTCCAAAAAAAAACCAATTTCATTGTTGCCAGCAGGTATTGGACCCGGGTTGCTCGAGTTCTGTGAAATTTAAGCAGTTAGCGCTTGAGCTGTCATGGCTCTTATTTTCATTATTTTGACATTTGTGAATTTGGTGATCTAGACCAAATACTGTTACTGATTTAGACTACATAATAGGTTCTTAGGTCACTTATCAATGTAATAAAATAATATCAATTTATTACATTGCTTTGTTTAATTTTTTGGTCAATGTGACATACGAAGAACATTTCATCATCATCATTACAGCCCTTCTCAAGTTCACTGCTGAACATAGGCCTCCCCCAAGAAATTCCACAAAACACGGTCCTGAGCCACCTGCATCCATCGACTTACTGCATGTCTTACCAGGTCGTCACTCCATCTAGTGGAGCGTCGCCCTACACTTCGTCTACCGGTACGAGGCTGCCACTCGAGAACCTTTCTTCCCCATCGGTTGTCGGTTCTTCGAGCTATATGGCCGGCCAATAGCCACTTCAGCTTACTAATCTGTTGGGTTATGTCAGTTACTCTGGTTCTACTGCGGATATCCTCATTTCCAAGCTTATCACGCAGAGAAATGCCGAGCATAGCCCTCTCCATAGCTCGCTGAGCGACCTTAAACGTCCGCATACGGCCAGCAGTGAAGGACCATGTTTCAGATCCATAGGTCATCACTGGCAACACTCATTGGTTGTACAATCTAGTTTTGAGGGTTTGAGGTATGTCTAAGGAGAAGATGTGTCGTAATCTCCCGAAGGCTTGATATGCCCAGCCGCGTTGAATCCGTCGATTGATCAGCAGTTGGATAGGTTTCGTACTCTAGTTCTGTACTCGGATAGCCATCGTAGCCCTACTGTACAAGCGCTTCAACAATTCGATATACCGACAGTCCACTTGGCACCACTGCAGGGACTGCAGCACCGCCCAAGTTTCGACGGAATCAAAGGCTTTCTCATAGTCCACATACGCAAGACAAAGTGGCAGATTGTACTCTTCGGTCTTTTGTACAATTCGTCGAATGGTATGTATGTGGTCTATGGTGCTAAAACCTTATTGGAGACCGGCTTGTTCGGGAGGCTAGAAGTCGTCGAGTCTACGTGCGACACGATTCGTAATGACTCTCGAAAACCGCACGTAGACGCGGCTCAGAAGGGAAATCGGTCTATAGTTCTTCAAGAGAGCGTTGTCGCCTTTCTTGAAGAACAAGACCACCGCACTTGCTGCACGCCTCCCGAGTAGTGCCACTATGGAGGACGGAATTAAAGAGCTTCCGAAGGACTTTAAGTACCGGTTTTCCACCCGCTTTCAGAAGCTCCGCTGTGATTCCATTCTCGCCCGGGGATTTACCGTTTTTAAGGTGCTGGAGAGCCATTTTAATCTCGCTCAGACTGACGTCCGGAATATCATCGGAATAGTGTCGAAAGGAAGAACATTTATGGATACACAACTGGCCTAAAGGAGACAGGCGATTATATGTGACTTTTTCTGATAAAAGCCCCGCGGTAATCACTATCACCTCAGACATGGGCTACTGGAACTTCCGTTCGAAATTCACCTCCATTGCTGAACATAGGCTAATTGTCACGCGCATCTGCAGGGTCTTTGAAAATTCTTCTTTTTTTTTCTTCTTTCTTTCTAAATTTCTTCTTTCGGTCTTCGTTGGGTCTTTGAAAATTTCTATTTGCAATTTTTTTTTTCAATGGTCGAGTTTTCTGAAGTAATTTCTATAAGTTTGAATACTGATTTTGATTACACATTTAACGGAACCACAGAGTTTTTGTTACATGTATAGTAATAGGGTGTAATTAAAATGTATAGTAAGTAATTTTTCATATGTACTGAGCTTTAGAGCTGTTTACAGCAACACGGAGTCGATCCGCGACGTTCAGTTCAGTCCTCACCAAGCGCATACATTCGCGGCCGTGTCGGAGAACGGCACGGTGCAGGTGTGGGACTCGCGGCGCAGCGAGCGCTGCCTGCAGCAGTTCACGGCGCACTCGGGGCCCGTGTTCGCGTGCGACTGGCACCCCGACGTGCCCTGGCTGGCCACCGCCTCGCGCGACAAGACCATCAAGGTGACCCACCCCGAGATACCCACGCTACTAACTTTTCAACCTTTCTAATTGTCAACCCAACGTGGGTTGCTTTCTTACTATCACCGACGATGTAGGACTACAAAAGTCCTATGTCGTCTCGTAAATATTGAAAGGTATAACTTATGATATCACTACGAAGATTTTGTACCTTACCGAAACATGGCGGTAGGTATAACCATGTTATATAATATACTGGCGACCAGTCCCGGCTTCTAGTAAGTAGGATCTATAGATATTATTTTTATAGAATAAGGATGACAAACGAGCAGATAGTCCATCTGATTGTAATCTATTTTCGACATGTTGGTGCTGTTAGCCTATACGGCTCTTACAGCTTGAAACTAAAAAGAGAAAGGCCGCGAGCTATTTAAAACAAAAGGGAAAGGCAATGAAGATGATGATAAGGATGAAGATGGTTTATGATTTGGTATTGTTACCAATCATGTCCTCTCTGTTGAGGTTTTTTTGAGCTATTTAATCGCTGTCCGAGTGGGGTTATGTAAACCCCAACCTCTGACCCCAGAATATCGACCGACACGAGCTTTAACGGTGGTAGAGCCCTGCAGCAGTTTTTTGCTGTTGCACGTATGGGCCGGCTCGAGCCGGGTTGGTACCACGACCTCACAGAATACCGGCGTGAAGTAGAGGCTCTGCTTCTGCGTTTCGTCTGGTGAGTGCAGGTGGCCGGAGGCCCAATTCCCCCCCCCCCCATCAACATGGTAGCGGAATTAGACAATAGACTACCCCAGGAGGGTACCAGTACCCCTGGAGAATCCCTCGCTGAGCATCCACGACCATGTTATTCCAATCCTGAGCGTGGGTGCTCAGGCTGCCCCGCGTATTCTGGGGGGGGCAAAATTCCGCTCAAAAACAAAACTGCTCGGGGCAAGCTGAGCAACAATATCAAGGCGACCCCTGCCACGCTATCCGTGAATTTCTGCAACATCAGGGGACTTCACTCTAACCTAAACGCCGTTCACTACCATCTCGAGACGGCGAAGCCGGCCTTGCTCTTTTTGACCGAGACGCAGGTTTCCTCTCCGACTGATATTTCGTATCTCTCCTACCCGGGGTACAAATTGGAGCACTCCTTTGTGCCTCGGGCTGGAGTTTGCGTGTATGTTAGAGAGGACATCTGTTCTCGACGCCTCGGCAGTCTTGAAGGTTCGGACCTGTCCATCCTTTGGCTACGCGTAGACAGCGACGACCATCCGCGCGTCTACGGGTGCCTCTATAGGTCCCATAGCGGTAATGCCGAAACAGACCGACTCATCGACCACGTCCAAATGGCTACAGATTCCTTGCTACAACAGGTCCCATCCGCAGAGATCGTGATCCTTGGCGATTTTAACGCCCACCATGCCGAATGGCTCGGTTCACGTCTAACCGATCATGCGGGGAGATCTGTTTATGACTTTGCCTTGGCATATGGTCTGACACAACTGGTTACTTCGCCTACGCGGATTCCAGATGTGGAGGATCATACACCTTCCCTGTTGGACCTTCTGCTGACCTCTCATCCGGACGGATATCAGGTTTCCGTCGATGCCCCTCTCGGCTCTTCGGACCATTGTCTGATCCGGAGTATGGTGCCACTCACGCTCCCTTCGCGGTTGCGTTCTGCAGGTTGCCGCCGTGTTTGGCATTACAGGTCGGCGGATTGGGACGGAATGCGGTCTTTCTTTGCATCCTACCCATGGGGGCGGGTTTGCTTCTCGCCGGATGATCCCAGTGCTGTTGCTGACTCTGTCACTGATGTGGTGCTACAGGGAATGGAACTATTTATTCCATCATCTGTGGTACCCATCGGAGGCAGATCTCAGCCTTGGTTTGGTCGCTCCTGTAAGACTGCATTGCGCAGTAAGCAGGAGTGTTATCAAGCCTGGGCTGCGGCTTCGGTGACTCGGGATGTAAACACCAGCACACTTAAAAAGAAGTATAACTTCGCCTCCAGGTCCTTCAAAAGAGTTATTGCCAAGGCAAAGTTAGAGCACATAGGCAGAATTGGCGAGAAACTAGTTCGCCTTCCTTCGGGAACCCGTGCATTCTGGTCTCTCGCCAAGGCTGTCCAAGGGAATTTCTGTAAGCCATCACTACCATCTCTGCACAGGGAGGACGACTCACTGGCCCAAGACGCAAAAGACAAAGCCGACCTTTTAGGCTCCCTTTTTGCGTCCAACTCGACTCTTGATGACGGGGGGAAAATACCGCCGACTATCCCGCGGTATGAGTGCTCCATGCCGGATGTGCTATTCTCACAGCGCTCAGTTCGCAAAGCACTTCTCTCCCTGGACATCCAGAAGTCGAGTGGGCCTGACGGAATCCCCCCAATTGTGCTGAGGACGTGTGCTCCGGAGTTGGCACCGGTCCTAACGCGTCTTTTCCGGTACTCCTACTCCCAAGGCGTAGTCCCGAATTCATGGAAGATAGCTTTTGTCCACCCGATCCCTAAAAAAGGCGACCGCTCAGACCCGTCCAACTATAGGCCTATCGCGATCACCTCCTTGTTCTCCAAAATAATGGAATCCATTATTAACTGCCAGCTCATCCGGTACCTTGAGGATCACCAGCTGATTAGTGACCGCCAATACGGTTTTCGTCGGTGTCGATCAGCTGGTGATCTTCTGGTCTACCTGACCCATAGATGGGCGGAGGCAGTAGAGTCCAAGGGGGAGGCGTTGGCCGTTAGTCTGGACATTGCGAAGGCCTTTGATCGGGTTTGGCACAAAGCGATTCTTTCGAAGCTGCCTTCCTATGGGCTTCCCGAGAAATTGTGCAATTGGATCACCAGCTTTCTTGCAGATCGGAGCATCAAGGTCGTTGTAGACGGTGCATGTTCTGACTACAAGCCTATTAACGCTGGTGTTCCACAAGGCTGTGTGCTATCACCAACGCTGTTTCTTCTGCATATCAATGATATGTTGCTAACTGGTAACATTCATTGCTATGCGGATGACAGCACTGGTGATGCTCTATACACCGGCCGGGCCAATATTTCTCGGGAAAACGTCGCCGAGTACCGGAACAAACTTGTGTCTGAAGTCGAGTCTTTGCTGGACAAAGTCTCGGATTGGGGGCGACTAAATCTAGTCCAGTTTAATCCTCAGAAGACACAAGTTTGCGCGTTTACCGCTAAAAAGAACCCCTTTGTCGTATCTCCTCAGTTTCAAGGCACTCCCCTTCTTGCCTCAGCCAGTATCGGTATCCTCGGAGTCGACATATCGAGTGACGTGCAGTTTCGTGGTCACTTGGAAGAGAAGGCCAAATTGGCCTCTAAAAAGCTTGGCGTGCTCAGCAGAGCGGGACAGTATTTCATGCCGGCACACCGCCTGCAACTTTACAAGGCGCAGGTTCGGCCTCACATGGAATACTGTTCCCATCTCTGGGCAGGGGCTCCCCAGTGCCAGCTCCTTCCACTTGACCGCATCCAGCGCAGAGCGGCTCGAATCGTCGACGACCGAGCCCTTTCCGATCGGCTCGATTCATTGGCACTGCGAAGAGATGTTGCATCTCTTTGCATTTTCTTTCGCATCTACCATGGGGAGTGCTCTGAGGAATTGTTCGGATTAATCCCAGCCGCCAAATTTCACGAACGCACATCGCGGCAGAACTCCCGATACCATCCACACCATCTGGATGATTGGCGGTCCACCACTGTGCGATTTAGAAGATGTTTTCTTCCTCGCACAACTTCCTTGTGGAATAGTTTACCACCAGGGATTTTTCCGGACCGATACGACTTAGGGACCTTCAAGAAAAGAGCCTACTCCTTTTTAAAAGGCCGGCAACGCATCTGCAATTCCCCTGGTGTTGCGGTTGTTCATGGGCGGCGGTAGTCACTTACCATCAGGTGAGCCGCATGCTCGTTTGCCCCCTCTCCTATAAAAAAAAAAAAAAAAAAAAGTAAGCTCGTGTCGGTCGATATTCTGGGCAGTGAGAACCGCCCAGGTGGAACGCGTCGTGCCCGCCTACGGGCGACGCGCCCTGATGGTAAGTGGATGCTGTGGCCCATAGACATCTATATTTATCCTCGATTAAGGATAAAATAGAAGATTGAAAAAGAATAAAGAAAAAAACCGTGGAAGGACCACATTCTCACAGAATACCTGCGTAAAAAAGCAGCTTAATACTGTTGTGTTTCTTATGGTGAGTGTTTAGAACGGGAGACCCTTTTTACTGCAAATGAGTTATTCCATTTAATTCCTCAGGGGTGACAACGCATCTGCATTTTGATTCTTAATCGAGGATAAATTTATGTAGATGTCTATGGGCCACAGCATCCACTTACCATGAAGTGGACTGAGTGCTAGCTTGTGACCCGTATTCTTTATGGAATTAAAAAAAATTTGAGCATATCCGTTAGTAGCTTACGATACTCACAGGACGTAATTGGGTGATGGATTCATTAGATGGATGGATTGGACGGCCGTCACCATATGGTGAAGCGCAATTCTAAAGGTCGATAAAGAAAAAAAGAAAATAAGTTTATTTAGTAACACATTTCAGAAGTTGGCTAACCATAATAATATATTATGATAAATGGTTACTAAAAAGGTACCCAACTGCTGAATTGGTTACTTTTTAGTAACATTGTCTTGGTACTAACAAAGTACTTAGTCATTAAAGTGAGAAGACACTGATCTTCCGTGGGTGCCAATAAAATTTAACAAAAACAAAACTTAACAATATTCATTATTATACAATATTAAGTCAATATGCACATATATAAATATTTGTAATATACAACAACAGTTTTTGGGATTGACGAAATGTTTCTGGGCACAAATATATTAAGAACAGCGTGCGTTCATCAGGTAACTCTATGAACTCTAACTACTGCTCGCCTCAACCCGCTGATTACGTGCACGTGCGCAATATGAAGTAGGTCACGACGATATCAGTGTTGCGGGTATTAATAGCTTTGTATCTGTCTGCTTTATCTGTAGGTGGGTATTGTTGTGTCGACGATTTTTGATTTCCCTGTCTCGAATGTCAATTGTTATCTCAAACGATTTTGCGTCAGCTTGTATCGAAGTATAGTCGAACTAGAGTAATAGTCAAAATTTGACCGTAATTTATTTAAAAAATTAAGTTTGTATATTAAGAAAACTCTATTTAATTTTCAACACGCAGATAATATCTCTTATTCAAAATATAAAATAGACGCTTTTTTGCCATGGCATACGTAGGTCACTCAATAAGTTTTGAGATGCTCGAAATTTAAAAATGGAACGCACCCATGTTATGTTTCTAAAAAGCAAATTTATTTAAAAATTGAACTGCATAAGCCAATTGCTCAAAATTAAAAAAAAAAACAAAGTTCTATTAATTTTCCTGCAATGCTTCCCGCGCTTTTCATTTAAAACGATGAATCTTAACCGTGAACATTTGCCGGCTATGATATATGATGATTTTAAATTATAATTAAACCGAACAATTAAGTTTACAACGTTTACAATTAGCATTAGGGGGCGTTCCCACGACACGCACCCGTTACGCGCACGCCACGCGCGTCAGCACTGTTGTATAAAAAGCGCGTGTGCGGGGTGAGCGCGGGATCAGTGCGGAGCGGGAACGAGGCGGGCGCGTGGCGTGGGCGAGGCGTGTGCGGACGTCGATAAATGCAATTTCAGATTTATTGATATGTCATAAGACTCAAATTATATGCAACAAATTTCAAAGCGAGTTAGACGCGGGTGCTGTCGCGCGTGGCGTGCGCGTAGCGGTTGCGTGTCGTCGTAACGCGCCCTTAGGGGACTCAGCTCCATCACGTTCAACAATTTTTAGGTGTTTTTCTGAATTCAAAAGGGGTAAAATTAATATTAAAGCTGACCAAAGAACCGAGGCCCCGTAAACAGCAGTAACGGCAGAAAATATATGGACTACTGAAATGTTGGTGCGAGAAGACCCACGAATCACATATACGGACATCGCAAAGATTGCATGCATTAGTTCGGGTAACATTCATATCATCCTACATCAACATCTTGGAGTGAGAAAGCTTTGTTGTCGATGGAGCCCTCGTTTGCTCTCCGAAAGCGAAAAACAGGGGCATCTAGGCGTGTTTCAGAAATAGTTACTGGTGACGAGACATGGATCTATCAATATGATCCGGAAAATAAAAGGCAATCATCGGTATGGGTCTACTCAGAAGGACAGTTACCGACAAAACTGCAAAGACCTTGCAACGTCGGCAAAAAAATGGTGCCAATTTTTTTTCGCGGAGCGGACATTTGTCGACGTCAATGCTGGAAAATTTTAGGTCAGTCAACTCTGAATGGTTAACTACAGTTGCATTACCCAAAGCTTTTCAAGCTGTGCGGGAGAGAAGACCAAAAACCGGGCTTCGGGGAATCATGCTGCATCACGATAACGGCTCTTCACATAACTCTCTTAGAACAAAAGCATTTATTGAGGAATCTGGTGTTGAATAAGTCACCCACCCTACAGACTTAGCTCCTTGTGATTTCTTTTTGTTCCCAAGAGCCAAAGAAAAAATAAAAGGCAAGTTTTTTTTCAAGCGCCGAAGAAACCGTGGCTGCCTACGAAGAAGCGATTTCCGACCTGTCAGATCAAGACTGGCAAAAGTGTTTTCAGAGTTGGTTTAGGCAAATGGATCTTTGTATAGACCATGATGGAGAATATTTTGAAAAGATGTAAAATAAATATTAATAGTATCTAGAATACTTTTTGTATATCTTAAAGCTTATTGAGTGTCCTACGTACACTCCACACACTAATGAAAGAAAACATAAATACCCCTTAAAATATAACACAAAAATTAGATTATGTTTCTTCGTCTTCATCAACCAGTAAAAGTCCAATCTGGTCATAGTCTCCTTCCATTGTAGTAAGGATTTGCCTTGGCAGGTGTCACAAGACGTCTATTTTATGGAATAAGGGTGACAAACGAACAAAGAGTCCCTCTGATGGTAAATGGATTCTGTGGGCCATAGACTTCTACATCATCATCATCATCATTACTGCTCTTCACAAGTCCACTGCTGTACATAGGCCTCCCCTTATGACACAAAACACAATCCTAAGCTTTCTGCATTTCTTAGCAGGTCGTCACGTTTACCCTCAATTAAGAATCAAAATTCAGATGTGCTGTCATCCCTGAGGACTAAAATAGAATGCCTCGTTTTCAGTACAAGGGGTCTCCGGTTCTCCACACTCACCATACAAAACACAGCAGAATTAAGCTGCTATTTTATGCTGGTATTCTGTGAGAGTGTGGTCCCGGTCGAACCGACGGATTTCCATTAGTAATATAGCTGCAGCATGGCTCTACCACGTAAAGTATGTCTCATATGGCTCCGCCTGTGAGAAAATGTTCCTAGTGTGAGGGGCGCGTTAGTTTTCTTAAAGCTAAACAAAAACGTATTATTACAGGTGTGGGATATGCACGCCAAACCCAACCTGGAGCACACCATTTACACGATTGCTTCAGTCGGTCATGTGAAGTGGCGACCTCAGAAGAAGTAAGTAAATTAAACGTTTGAAGGAATAGAGCAGTTCCCGTTAGTTCATTATCAGTCGTATAAAATTAACGTATCTACATATTTTAAAGTCTTTGAACTCTAACCAGTGACTACTTTTAAAATTTTTGATTTACCATTAAAGTTCTATCTGCCAGTGTTTATAATTAAAAAAAAACAACTTAATTTATTATAGCAATGAAGTAATTTTTTTTTTTATAGGAGAGGGGGCAAACGAGCATGCGGCTCACCTGATGGTAAGTGACTACCGCCGCCCATGAACAACCGCAACACCAGGGGAATTGCAGATGCGTTGCCGGCCTTTTAAAAAGGAGTAGGCTCTTTTCTTGAAGGTCCCTAAGTCGTATCGGTCCGGAAAAATCGCTGATGGTAATCGATTCCACAAGGAAGTCGTGCGAGGAAGAAAACATCTTCTAAATCGCACAGTGGTGGACCGCCAATCATCCAGATGATGTGGATGGTATCGGGAGTTCTGCCGCGATGTGCGTTCATGAAATTTGGCGGCTGGGATTAATCCGAACAATTCCTCAGAGCACTCCCCATGGTAGATGCGAAAGAAAATGCAAAAAGATGCAACATCTCTTCGCAGTGCCAATGAATCGAGCCGATCGGAAAGGGCTCGGTCGTCGACGATTCGAGCCGCTCTGCGCTGGATGCGGTCAAGTGGAAGGAGCTGGCACTGGGGAGCCCCTGCCCAGAGATGGGAACAGTATTCCATGTGAGGCCGAACCTGCGCCTTGTAAAGTTGCAGGCGGTGTGCCGGCATGAAATACTGTCCCGCTCTGCTGAGCACGCCAAGCTTTTTAGAGGCCAATTTGGCCTTCTCTTCCAAGTGACCACGAAACTGCACGTCACTCGATATGTCGACTCCGAGGATACCGATACTGGCTGAGGCAAGAAGGGGAGTGCCTTGAAAATGAGGAGATACGACAAAGGGGTTCTTTTTAGCGGTAAACGCGCAAACTTGTGTCTTCTGAGGATTAAACTGTACTAGATTTAGTCGCCCCCAATCCGAGACTTTGTCCAGCAAAGACTCGACTTCAGACACAAGTTTGTTCCGGTACTCGGCGACGTTTTCCCGAGAAATATTGGCCCGGCCGGTGTATAGAGCATCACCAGTGCTGTCATCCGCATAGCAATGAATGTTACCAGTTAGCAACATATCATTGATATGCAGAAGAAACAGCGTTGGTGATAGCACACAGCCTTGTGGAACACCAGCGTTAATAGGCTTGTAGTCAGAACATGCACCGTCTACAACGACCTTGATGCTCCGATCTGCAAGAAAGCTGGTGATCCAATTGCACAATTTCTCGGGAAGCCCATAGGAAGGCAGCTTCGAAAGAAGCGCTTTGTGCCAAACCCGATCAAAGGCCTTCGCAATGTCCAGACTAACGGCCAACGCCTCCCCCTTGGACTCTACTGCCTCCGCCCATCTATGGGTCAGGTAGACCAGAAGATCACCAGCTGATCGACACCGACGAAAACCGTATTGGCGGTCACTAATCAGCTGGTGATCCTCAAGGTACCGGATGAGCTGGCAGTTAATAATGGATTCCATTATTTTGGAGAACAAGGAGGTGGTCGCGATAGGCCTATAGTTGGACGGGTCTGAGCGGTCGCCTTTTTTAGGGATCGGGTGGACAAAAGCTGTCTTCCATGAATTCGGGACTACGCCTTGGGAGTAGGAGTACCGGAAAAGACGCGTTAGGACCGGTGCCAACTCAGGAGCACACGTCCTCAGCACAATTGGGGGGATTCCGTCAGGCCCACTCGACTTCTGGATGTCCAGGGAGAGAAGTGCTTTGCGAACTGAGCGCTGTGAGAATAGCACATCCGGCATGGAGCACTCACACCGCGGGATGGTCGGCGGTATTTTCCCCCCGTCATCAAGAGTCGAGTTGGACGCAAAAAGGGAGCCTAAAAGGTCGGCTTTGTCTTTTGCGTCTTGGGCCAGTGAGTCGTCCTCCCTGTGCAGAGATGGTAGTGATGGCTTACAGAAATTCCCTTGGACAGCCTTGGCGAGAGACCAGAATGCACGGGTTCCCGAAGGAAGGCGAACTAGTTTCTCGCCAATTCTGCCCATGTGCTCTGACTTTGCCTTGGCAATAACTCTTTTGAAGGACCTGGAGGCGAAGTTATACTTCTTTTTAAGTGTGCTGGTGTTTACATCCCGAGTCACCGAAGCCGCAGCCCAGGCTTGATAACACTCCTGCTTACTGCGCAATGCAGTCTTACAGGAGCGACCAAACCAAGGCTGAGATCTGCCTCCGATGGGTACCACAGATGATGGAATAAATAGTTCCATTCCTTGTAGCACAAAAGATACCTTGGTAACAAAAATACGAAACATATTTGGATTTCCATTACCATATTGGACAAAATATGCTAATTGATAGCGAGCAATATTGCGTTAAAGAAAATCTCGCATTAATTATCCTTCTTCTTTAGGAAGTGTGGAACCACTACCGTGTGAAAACGCCAGTAATAGATTGGGTCCAAAATAGGATCCTTGTGGTATGCCTAATAATTTGATAATTTAGTTTTTTAATACACATATGACAGATAGGTAAATTTAAGGTCTGCGGTATTCTCTGCCACTCAAATTTAGGAATAAAGCAGAGATAAAATGAAGTAGTTATGAAGTTAGAAATGAAAATAAAAGTAACTTAATATAAATAAAACGGATTTATATCTAGCAATTAAATTCTTTAGTGTCGTAAAAATTGCTATAAAACGAAGACACCAAGATACATTGGAAATTGCAAGGATATGAAACTAATTATTTAATTAAAATGACACCCTTCACCCGTTTAAATGCTTAATTTATTAGTGTTTGAACCTGTTTTAATCTGTCCTATAGTGTTACTTCAGTGTGATCACTTAAGGAACTTTCTGTAAAATTCTCACACCAAAAAAAAGTCGTAACACTGCATATAATTCAATCAATGCCCTAAAACTCAACTTATTGTAACTCACAATCACGGACACATATGCATATACAATGAAATTATTTGCAACTAAGAACATTCGAAGAAGGTTTTAGGTGCGTATGTGTGCCTCCAGCAGTGAACTTTACGGTATGATGAAAAAAGTTTGCGTGAGTGCCTGTAAAAAATTTGAGCATGGTATCGGTATCATTCGACATGTACGTAGTTTTCCGTCTATCTATTTTGTTGGCCTAAGGTAGAGATATAGGAAAGTAAATAATAATTTCCTCTAGACTAAATTTCGGTCACGGCGGTCAGTCCCTACAGAGACTAATCATCTGCGCAGGACAGGATTATAGTGCCCGAGTATAGAGCTCAAGGATAGGTGCACTCTATTTTCTCTCTCTCTCTCTTATAGTTTTTTTTTGGGACGGTAATCCGCCAAAACCGGAGTGAGATCAGACGCAGGACCAACGGCTTTACGTGATTTCCGAGGCACGGGGGTGAAAACTGACTCCGGGCTGCTACTGACAATTTCTTAACGGAAAACCCTAATAAGTAACTTTGGCCCGACCTAGACCGATCAGCAACCTCGTTTACGACAACTAGGCTAACAGGCAGTCAATGAAAGTATAAGGTCGCGCAAGATACCAGTGTGAAATAGCAGCTCAATGCTGCTGTGTTTCGTATGCTGAGTGTAGAGAACCTTTTTAGTGGAAAGTAAGCATTCCATCTTAGTCCTCAGGGGTGACAGCATATCTGGATTTTGATTCTTAATCGAGGATAGATGTAGATGTCTATGGGGGCCACAGGATTCATTTACCATCAGGTGGACTGTGTGCTCGTTTGCCATCCTTATTGTATATAAAAAAAAAGGTTTGTGTACGCGTAGTAAAAAAGTGGTACAAGGCACGTGCAGGTCGATGAGGTGCAGGCGTGATGTGACGACGTGGTGGGTGCAGGTACCAGGTGACGTGTGGTTGGTTGTGCACAGGTGACAGGTGACGTGTGGTTGTGCGCAGGTACCAGGTGGCGTCGTGCGCGCTGGTGCTGGACTGCGCGGTGCACGTGTGGGACGTGCGGCGGCCGCACGTGCCGCTCGCCACCTTCGCGGAGCACCGCGACGTCACCACCGCCATCGCCTGGTTGTCGCCCGCCGCCTTCCTCTCCACCAGTCGGGTAGCTCTCTTGGTCACTTTATTTTATTAACTTGTTAATATTTAAATAAGAGCCATGCTGCAGCTATGTTAGTAGTATAGTTGTAGCACGAATGGGTCGGCTCGACTGGGGATGGACCACGCTCTCACAGAATACCAGCGTAAAATAGCAGCTTAACACTGCTGTGTTTCGTATGGTGAGTGTAGAGAACCGGAGACCCTTTTTACTGGAAAAGAGGCATTCGATCTTAGTCCTCACGGGTGACAACGCATCTGCATTTTGATTCACAAACGAGTATAAATATAGCTGCCTATGGGGCACAGCATCCACTTACCATTAGCTGAATTGTTTGCTCGTTTGTCACGGTCTCATTAATTTGTGAATATTTAAATATCCTTTGGTATACATATTTTAATTATATTTCTCTGTTCCGATTTGTTGGATACAATAGAGCCAGAGTATTTCTTTTATTTATCCATATTAATATCCCTGTGCTGCACTAGCTACTTACCATTACATAGACAGTATGTTAGGTTGAATGTCAATTCAATTTTTTAAAAAGAAATGCAGCACATGTCTTGCGTCTTCGATTTTGTTTTACCACTAAACGCTGATGAAGGTTTGATAAGTTTTGAGATAGATTTTCAATTCGACTGGCATTATTTTTGACATTTATGGGAAAATTACAAAAGCTTCTATGTATATTACTAGATGGGATTTGCGGCATACCGTTACGCATTAAGTTATGGTCAATTATCCGTAATGCCTTTAGTAGACTGCGAAAGAGCGAGGAGACAAGTTCTTTGTTTTGTGAACCGCGATCATTGTTTTCGACAATCTAATACTGATTTAGTTTAATGTGACTAAGAAAACTATGTTATGATTGTGACGTTTAACATGAGATATAATTTTCGTTCAGTTTGTGTACGTAGGTATGTGATATTCTTTATTCTTTCTATTCTTTAAAAAATGTTACCTTCACACTAGGATTTTCTACTATATTGTGGAAGCAGTTAAGTTAAGTACTAACATAAATTTCACAAACATAAACATCCAGGCCCATACAATTATTTTTATGCCATCCAAATACTTGTTCCGTGCGGGATTCGATCCCGCGGCTCTCAGTGCCATACCTCATTGCTAAGTTACTGCGCTTTAGGTGACGGTTCCGTGCCTCATGTATGCAAATAAATAAAATTTAAGTGTCTGTTTGTAATGTCGCAATAATAGCTTCTTACTAAATGCATATGAAAGAATATACGGTACTTATAACAAAAATAATTTTTATCATTTTTGTCTGTCTGTCTGTCCGAATTCCGGCTAATCTCTTCTTAGTTTGCCGGCGACATAAGAATTAGAGGCGGCAATCACTATAAAACTTGCTAGTAATTTTTAATATTTTTTACGTACCTCTTTTTAAATTCAAAGTATTGGTCGGATTAAATGCGGAAAGTCAATTAAAATAAAGTAAAAGTATTATTTTTTACATTAATTCTGATAGATTAATTAACTGTCGATCATAATTGCAATTGATTTTAACTATTAAATTATTCAGTACCATTTAATTTCTATTTTCTTATACAAAATCAAAGATAACGATGAAATAGTGTTTATAATTGTGTAGGTGAGTACTGAGTACCCAATTAGAGGTACGTTTATTAATTTAATTTTTGTAGTAAAGAACTGCTTGGTGTACAATTGATTGTGTATTTTTTTTATAGGATAGGGTGACAAACGAGCACACAGTCCACCTGATGGTAAATGGTTGCTGTGGCCCATAATGCAGATGCGTTGTCACCCGTGAGGATTAAGATGGAATGCCTCTTTTCCAGTAAAAACGGTCTCCGGTTCTCTACACTCACCATACGAAACACAGCAGTGTTAAGGTGCTATTTGACGCTGGCATTCTATGAGAGCGTGATCCTTCCCCGGTCGAGCCGACCCATTCGTGCTACAACTATACTACTAATATAGCTGCAGCATGGCTCTACCACGTACAGTTTGTATTAAAAATGACAACCATAAATTCTAAATTCTATATGAAGGCTAGTCGTAGGGATAACTAAACTTATAAATAAAATAAACGTTGGCAATGTCGTAAGGGTTTTATGCTCTGTGGTAGTGCTTAGTGCTTCAAGGACGAATGCGTCGAGCGCGTTTGATTTGGCGGGATTGATTATTAATTTTAGGTTTTGAGACAGTTCCGTGTTGACTATCACGTGCATGTGAGCGACAGTTCAATCGTTTGTTTATTACATTCTTGTTGTTACGTTTTGTTTTAATAATGCCTATTGCGTAGGTACGTTTATAGTGCTCGTGAATACGGCAACATGTTAATGTACCTTGGAGTATATCATACTTACTTAGGATTTAGATCGGTAAGCTGTTTCATACTTAATTTTTTTAAATAACTTAGTACTGAACTCATCTGAATAGCTACATAACTGAATACATCAGAATAATAAAAATACCTACACGATGGATAAAAAACCATGACTCTAACCTTGTTAACATTTCATTTAATTAATATTTTTATTAGCGGGGAATCGAACCAGGTATTTGGTTTATTTAACCTGTGAATAAAGTGGCTACGTGGAGACAAGCACAGTGGCAAAATAGTAGGTTAAGTAGATAAGTTAGGTATTTAGACAAGTGTTGTAAATTATTAGGTATTGTGGTACCATCACTAGATGCGGGCCGCGCATATTCGGCGTCCGGGCGTACACTGACCTAGTCAGCTGATTGTAATTCCACTGCTGGTTTTATGTTTAAGTATTATTCAGTTTCATGATTTTTTTTTAATGAAATTATCGTTTCATTTAGCTGTACTAACATGATGGAGCGTGAATAAAGCTAATAAAACATTGTGAAAAGATGATTTTTTTTCCCTCAGGATCGATTTTATTTCTCACCCATCATCAAAGGTATATTTAGTACTATCGCTGTCTTCGTTTTCGGGAGCGTTTCACAAACACCCGGTATATCCACGCGGACGAAGTGGCGGAGTACAGGTAGTCAGCGATGTATGTTGCGTGTGGCAGGACTGCAGCCTGTACCGGCACCGGTTCAGCGAGGCGGCGCACCCGGTGCTGTGGGCCAACCCGCAGGGCGTGTGCGTGTCCGCACGCGGGGAGCTCGCGCACGCCACGCCCGAGTGCCCGCTGCCCGCGCTCGCCGCGCACCGCTGCCCGCCGCCCCACGCGCCCGCGCCCGCGCCCGGCCTCGGGTGAGTGAGAGAGATAGCGCACGCCACGCCCGAGTGCCCGCTGCCCGCGCTCGCCGCGCACCGCTGCCCGCCGCCGCACGCGCCCGCGCCCGCGCCCGGCCTCGGGTGAGTGAGAGAGATAGCGCACGCCACGCCCGAGTGCCCGCTGCCCGCGCTCGCCGCGCACCGCTGCCCGCCGCCCCACGCGCCCGCGCCCGCGCCCGGCCTCGGGTGAGTGAGAGAGATAGCGCACGCCACGCCCGAGTGCCCGCTGCCCGCGCTCGCCGCGCACCGCTGCCCGCCGCCGCACGCGCCCGCGCCCGCGCCCGGCCTCGGGTGAGTGAGAGAGATAGCGCACGCCACGCCCGAGTGCCCGCTGCCCGCGCTCGCCGCGCACCGCTGCCCGCCGCCGCACGCGCCCGCGCCCGCGCCCGGCCTCGGGTGAGTGAGAGAGATAGCGCACGCCACGCCCGAGTGCCCGCTGCCCGCGCTCGCCGCGCACCGCTGCCCGCCGCCGCACGCGCCCGCGCCCGCGCCCGGCCTCGGGTGAGTGAGAGAGATAGCGCACGCCACGCCCGACTTTTATAGGCTGTAATGGATGGATGGATGGAAGGAAAATAATTTAGAAGAGAGAAATTATTTACGTGTGGTAGGTTTTATACTCATCGGAATCTATATACTATATTTTCATATCAGTCAATTTTTTTTATAATTATATATTAAAAGTGCTTCCCCGTGTAGTAGCGGGAAACAATACTCACTATCCCATATCTTCCCGTGGGTGTCGTAAGAGGCGACAGAGGGAAACTGAGGCAGAGGATGAGCAGCAGCATCTTTCTGATAATAGCAAAACAACAATAAAAAAACTACGGTTGCCAATTCGCTCACCAAGCGTGGCAACTGGCAACTACGGCAATATACCCCCCATGAGAGTAACGAAGTGACTATTCCTGGCTACGGTGGCGACCATGGTAACGGCGGGGCAGGGGGTGCTAAGAATCTCCGGTTGAGATTCGGTTGCCAGCTACGACGACTCGACCTGGCAACTTATAACGCACGCACTCTGAGGACTGACGAGAAGATCCTGGAGCTGGAAAAAGAGATAAACAAGTTGCGCTGGAATATCATAGGATTATCCGAGGTCTGAAGAGAGGGGAAGGACACGGTAATCCTCGAATCCGGCAACTTGTTCTATCACCGGAAGGGCGATCATCTGTCCCAAGGAAGTGTCGGATTTATCGTCCACAAGTCTCTCGTTAACAACGTTGTAAAGATTGGGAGTGTTTTTTTTTATAGGATAGGGCGACAAACGAGCACACAGTCCACCATATGGTAAGTGGTTACTGTGACCCATAGACATCTACATCTATCCTCAATAAAGAATCAAGATGCAGATGCGTTTTCACCCGTGAGGACTAAGATGGAATGCCTCTTTGCCAGTAAAAAGGGTCTCCGGTTCTCTACACTCACCATACGAAACACAGCAGCGTTAAGCTGCTATTTTACGCTGGTTTTCTGTGAGAGCGTGGTCCTTCCCCGGTCGAGCCGACCCATGCGTGCTACAACTATACTACTAATATAGCTGCAACATGGCTCTACCACGTTAAAAACTGAGACAAAAAAGAGTGTGTCGAAGAGGGTTGCGTACCTTAAAATCACCAAACGGTATTCGCTATAGGTCATACAGGTTTACGCACCAACCTCGGCACACCCCGATGGGGAGGTGGAGGAAATGTATGAGAATATCTCTAGAGCCATGCATTCCTCCAAAACCCACTATACGGTGTTAATGGGAGACTTCAACGCAAAACTAGGCACAAGAGAGAACGGTGAGGTGAAAGTAGGGAAATTCGGAATAGGGCAATGGAACCCAAGGGGCCAGCAGCTGGCTGACTTCACGGAGAAAGAGGGACTCTTGGTCGGGCCCCGACGGTTCGAATAAAAAATTGAGATTGACTTCATTATGATGACCAGACGACAACTGTTCAGTGATGTCTCGGTGATCGCGAGGGTGAAAACCGGCAGCAATCACTGAATGGTGAGAGGCACACTGAACCTAAACGTTAAGTTGGGAGAGGTCACGTCTAATAAAGTCAACGCCCCGTCCCACTCGTGCTCTCTTCCAAAGTCCCGAAACCTTTCAGCTCGAGTTACAAAACCGTTTTCAGTGCCTAGAAGACTGCAATGAAGTGGACGACATAAATGACAAGCTCGTGAAAACTGTCCATGCGGTCGGAGCTAAGTTCTGCAAGGCCCGCCGCTGAAGAACACAAAAACTCTCCGATCACACTCTTAATCTCATGGCTGTTAGACGGGATATGAAACTGCAGTCTTCAGTAGATTTGACAGCATACAGGCAACTGAACAGACAGATCTCCAAATGCATGCGGCGGGACTTACGCAACTTTAATACTGCTCGTATTGAAGAAGCGATCGAGCGGAACCAGGGTTCCAAAATCTTTGCTAGAATCTGTCTGCCAGAAAGAGCCAACTGTCGAAGCTGAAGACCGAGTGTGGCAGCGTCATTTTCGGGACACCTGAGATTTTGAGTGAGTTTGAGAGGTTATATGGGCAGCTGTACACATCATCGTTGGAGCCACACGCAAGTGTGAGTGTGAGTAACGATCCAATAGCGAGTCTTATCCGACATTATTCCGATGATATCCCGGACGTCAGCCTGAGCGAGATTTGAATGGCACTCCAGCACCTTAAAAATGGCAAGGCCCCAGGCGAGGATGGAATTACAGCGGAGCTTCTGAAAGCGGATGGAAAACCGGTGCTTGAAGTCCTTCAGAAGCTCTTTAATTCCGTCCTCCACGGTGGCATTACACCGGATTCGTGAAACAGAAGTGCGGTAGTCTTGTTCTTCAAGAAAGGCGACAAAGCTCTCTTGAAGAACTATAGGCCGATTTTCCTTCTGAGCCGCGTCTACGTGCTGTTTTTGAGAGTCATTACGAATCGTCTCGCGCGCAGACTTGATGACTTCCAGCCTCCCGAACAAGCCGGTTTTCGAAAAGGCTTTAGCACCATAGACCACATACATACCCTTCGGCAAATTGTACAGAAGTCCGAAGAGTACAATTTGTCACTATGTCTGGCGTATGTGAACTATGAGAAAGCCTTTGATTCCGTCTAAATTTGGGTGGTGCTGCAGTCCCTTCAGCGGTGCCAAGTTGACTGTCGGTATATCGAAGTGTTGAAGTGCTTGTACAATAGGGCTACGATGGCTATCCGAGTACAGAACCAGAGTACGAAACCTATCCAATTGCAGAGGTGTAAGACAGGGTGACGTCATATCCCCGAAACTCTTAACCGTTGCATTGGAAGACGTTTTCAAGCTTCTGGACTGGAAAGGATACGGTATCAACATCAATGGCAAGTACATCACTCACCTTCGATTTGTCGACGATATAGTCCTTATGGCAGAATCGCTGGAGGGACCTAAGCACTATGCTCAATGACCTCAATAGCTTTTCCCAACGGCCTATCCGTTAAGAACAGAATTCTTAAGATGAACATGGACAAAACAAAGATCAAGTTTAATGTCCATGTCACACCTATGCCGTTAGTTGCTGGGAGCACTAAGCTCGAAGTTGTTGACGAGTATGTTTACCTGGGACAAATAGTCTGACTAGGTAAGTCCAACTTCGTCCGAGAGGTCAATAGACGGATTCAACTCGGTTGGGCAGCGTTCGGGAAATTGCGGCACATCTTCTCGTCAGGTATACCTCAAAACTTGAAAACGAGACTGTACAACCAGTGCGTGTTGCCAGTGATGACCTATGGAACTGAGACGTGGTTCTTCACTGCTGGCCGGATGAAGAAGCTCAAGGTCGCTCAGCGAGCTATGGAGAGGGCTATGCTCGGAGTTTCTCTGCGTGATAAACTTAGAAATGAGGATATCCGCAGTAGAACCATAGTGACCGATAGCCCAACGGATTATTAAGCTGAAGTGGCAATGGGCCGGCCATATACCTCGAAGAACCGACAACCGATGGGGGAAAAAGGTTCTCGAGTGGCGGCCTCGTACCGGCAGGCGAAGTGTAGGGCGTCCCCCCACTAGATGGAGTGACGACCTGGTAAGATATGCAGGAAGTCGATGGATGCAGGTAGCTCAGGACCGTGCTTTGTGGCATTCCTTGGGGGAGGCCTATGTTCAGCAGTAGACTTGTGAAGGGCTGTAATGATGATGATGATGAAAAGTGCTCAATCCTTAAATGTGCTCTAGAAACAGGTTAAGGAACACTATTTGTTTCTTTAATCCCTCTGTATTCCTCCTCTTATTTATGGTCATTGATCTACCGAAAATATTGTCTTTTTATTGTATTTTATAAGTTGGTATCTTTTCTTAGTTTAGTGCACCCTATCCGTTAATCTTATTCTTATCTTTATTGAATTCTTCTTCTGGATTATTTGGATAAGATTTCTATGTAGCAATAAGACTGCGTTTTGTTTATACCTCAATATTTGTTTATTTTTTGTAATTTTGTATCTTTCCTTGGTGTATAATAAAGAGTATTGTATTGTATGTGTATATTCACGTTATTTTTTTTTTATATCTCCCAATACCAAATTTGAGAATCAACATCCAATATGTGATCGTTCCGAAGGATGAAGAAGAAATATTTTGCTGAAAATTTTATTGGTTATTGTTATAGTTAGTTCTATTCCACGATTAAGGTTTGACTTTGGTTGTTGTTAACTGTGCACACATACACATTGTGTTAGTGTGTGTAGACCTCAGGAGCGTTCAGTCACGATCGCGAGGCGAACGAATTGCAGTTACTTACGTTACGTTACTAGGAAAACAAGGCGAAACCTTCATCGTGAAGTTTCTACGAACCTTCTGTATGGTTTCATTTAAAATGCAGTACATTCAAAATGCAGCAAAGTAGTCTTCGTCATCGTCACATTAAGTAGTTCATATCCAATTTTCGCGTGTTGTATAAATCATTTTTAATTAGTTTATTGTAATACTACAGACTATGCTGACTTGGTAACCTTTTTATTGGCCGTATATCAAATTTAAAATATGCCATTGTTGTAAACTAATTGTTATAATATGTTATTATATAAAGTTATTTTTTTCTTTTTTTCTAACAGTTATTTCAATTAAATAATTTTTCATTATGCTGCTACACTTGGTGTATGTTATTGGTACTTCATTGATTAAAAATAGAATTATTTTTTTTAATTCAAGATTACATGTAATTCTTATTGAGTCATTTTTTACTTTTACCATTGGTTCAGAAAAAAAAATTCTGTCTTGTAAAGAATTAGCAAAAAAATCTTTAGAGTGGTTTGAAGGAATTGACATTTATGTGTGTAGACGCAAGCAGCCGACAGCAGGATCGCTGGCGCCGAGCGCGCAGGCCGCGCTGGAGCGCGCCTTCCCCGGCGGCGCCGCCTCGATGCTGGCGCGCCACGCGCCGGCGGGGGGCGCGGCGGGCGCGGGGGCCGCGGGGGACGGCGTGCTGCGGTGCGCGGCGCTGTACCGCATGCGCGGGCAGCCGCCGCACGCGCTGGCCGCGCACAACGCGCAAGTGGCGCGCGACGCGAACCGACACTGCGTACGTACGCAGGGCACGCACTTGTTTCATTCACACGCGTTCAACTGGTACTCAACTCACAGTACAGTTGATAGCAAATGACTATTGCAACTCATGCAATCAACAGGGCTAAAAAATGGGAATATAAAAAAAAATCGCATTTATTTTTTACTTTCGAGTTTTACGAGAAAAGTATAATATTTACTGGAGACAATTATTTTACATTAAAATAGTACATGATATTATCTTTAAAATGACACCAATAATCAATAATATTACCCAATATAAATTTGAATAAATAAGTAAATAAATAAATAAAAATAAATCTTAATAATTTCTAGATCCATTTGAACAGATATTTCGTTTATAAATGGCTATTAACGTGTTAATAGTGAATCATTCTTTTATATTTAGCATGCATATAACGCAAAAAACTGATTAGAATACATTTTAGACAGCATTAATCAATAAACGATAATCGCGTATAGTGATTAAAATTTCGAGCTAAATTATTATATGTAAACGTTTTTGAATTATCGTAATGAATGATACATATTTCCTAAAGAAAATATCTTCACAATTAGTTTGATGTACAATAACATTAGAAATAACGTATAAAAACAGAAAATTTATCACATTTTTATCGAAATTCTCACACTTTAACAGGCCACTAACAAAAATAAAAAATGGCGAAATTTAATTTTAACTTTTTTTTTCTAAAGGTTTTGTTACTATTATACAGATAAAATCACTCTCACAGATGACAAATTTATAATAGCATCATCTATAATTTTTTACTGTATTAATAACAGCTATCTTTTGCACTGTACACGTTTAAACCGAAAGATGTCGTTTGGTGACTATAGTCACCATGGACAGGTGAGGCAATAATTTTTTTGGGGATTGTAGTCACCGTGGACGGTTGAGTTGATAAATGAATATGTAGAAAGCTACATACGAGTATTTAATATTTATATATAAAAACATTAATATATAACTGGTGTACGCTGAGTAGTGTAGTTAGACGCTTCATGTAACTTCGGGGCACTTCGCGAAGTCCTTTGACTCGGGTGCAAAAAACGACAGCGATCGGAAATCTCCCGAGGCGAAGCGAGGTTACACGAAGTGAATCGAAGTATCTTTCTACACTATTCTCCTCGCTCAACTTCGATCAACTTCGCGAGTAGTGTAGAGGGACCATAACAAACAGTATACATTGTAATCACTGTAGGATCTCCCTAAAAATGTAGATTATTAACGTTAAACCAATCCATCAACCTTGAAATAGCATTATTCACTTCGTCATATTTAAATATTAACCGTTTAAGTTTAAAAATCAATGAAGTATCATCAGCAAATATATATCATGATTTTATCTCTTACATGAGAAAATAGGTCATTAATACAGACTAGAAATAGGAATGGCCCGAAAGTTGATCCCTGAGGAACACCCATTAGTACAGGTGATACGAAAGAACTTTTACTATTGATTTGATTTGATTGAATCTTCGTTCTATTACTTAAATATGAGATGAATAATATCAAGCATTATGTTTTTGATACCACAGTAGTTGTTGATTAATGTCTCATGATAAACACTGTCGAAGGCCTTGGAAAGATCTCAAAATATAACCAAAACATCCTCTGAATTATTTTAGAATCTTCCAGTACGTATTTTCGATAGTTTCAGTGTGATCATTCAATACCACCAACATAGCTTGCAAAATGAATATATGAAATGCCTTATGAAAGGCACATTTATCCGATCACCTCGTAAGTCACATGGCAGCTATACGTATGTGACAACAGTAAAGAAACATGTGCGTCAGTGTGTACGTGAGTTGTTAACATAATGAAAAAAGATTCAACTTTAATTGAAAATGTAATGGTAATAGATTGCTTCTTCTTCTTCTTCTTTACTTTTTGGCTTCTCTTAAAATAATTCTGCCAATGTCAAGTTATGGGAGTAATAACAAGGTGTAGGAAATGTCTTTATTGAAGTGTATTATTGTTTGGTCAATTAGCTAACTGTCTTAAAAAGAGGAGAAGGAGAATGAGAATTTTTACATGTATGTTGCGCGATATCTTCATCAATTGTGACTGACTTTTTTATTTAATAGTTTATACCTCCGGTTTCCACGCCTAAAAACGAAAACTAGGGGATAAAGTTATGAATATAACTATTTAGTCGGAATTTGAGCTTTTGATATTCCTGAGTCCACTCAAAAGGTTAAAAAAGTTACACTTTTAACAAAAAGTAAAAGCGTACTTTAAAGAACTAAAAAGAAAAAAGATTTCTTTTAAAAATTAATACTAGTATTGCTATTAATATTTCTTACGCGTGAACTATTCTAATTAAAGTTAAAAATTCTTGTGCTAAACTCTTAACACCACTTAGTCGAATTCACTTACACAATATTTCTTACGCGTGAACTATTCTAATTAAAGTTAAAAATTCTTGTGCTAAACTCTTAACACCACTTAGTCGAATTCACTTTCTGAGTTTACATTTTGCAGTCCGAACCGTGCCATTAGGCTACTGTCACTCATTATAAAATAATTACCGCATAATTGTTGAAATTGCGTCTTCAATACCTGTATGTATGTGGTGGTGGTGGTGGTGTGCAGGTGGGGCACGTGTGGGAGGTGGTGCGCGCGGTGTGCTCAGCGCGAGCGGCGGCGCGGCGCGCGCCCGCCCCGCCCCCGCCCCGCGCGCCGCCGCCCCGCGCCGACCCGCCGCCCGCCCAGCCCGCCTACAGGTACGTACGCACACACACGCGCCCGCCCCGCTCCGCCCCGCGCGCCGCCGCCCCGCCGCCCCGCGCCGACCCGCCGCCCCGCGCCGACCCGCCGCCCGCCCAGCCCGCCTACAGGTACGTACGCACACACACGCGCCCGCCCCGCTCCGCCCCGCGCGCCGCCGCCCCGCCGCCCCGCGCCGACCCGCCGCCCCGCGCCGACCCGCCGCCCGCCCAGCCCGCCTACAGGTACGTACGCACACACACGCGCCCGCCCCGCTCCGCCCCGCGCGCCGCCGCCCCGCCGCCCCGCGCCGACCCGCCGCCCCGCGCCGACCCGCCGCCCGCCCAGCCCGCCTACAGGTACGTACGCACACACACGCGCCCGCCCCGCTCCGCCCCGCGCGCCGCCGCCCCGCCGCCCCGCGCCGACCCGCCGCCCCGCGCCGACCCGCCGCCCGCCCAGCCCGCCTACAGGTACGTACGCACACACACGCGCCCGCCCCGCTCCGCCCCGCGCGCCGCCGACCCGCCGCCCGCCCAGCCCGCCTACAGGTACGTACGCACACACACGCGCCCGCCCCGCTCCGCCCCTCGCGCCGCCGCCCCGCGCCGACCCGCCGCCCCGCGCCGACCCGCCGCCCGCCCAGCCCGCCTACAGGTACGTACGCACACACACGCGCCCGCCCCGCTCCGCCCCGCGCGCCGCCGACCCGCCGCCCGCCCAGCCCGCCTACAGGTACGTACGCACACACGCGCCCGCCCCGCTCCGCCCCTCGCGCCGCCGCCCCGCGCCGACCCGCCGCCCCGCGCCGACCCGCCGCCCCGCGCCGACCCGCCGCCCGCCCAGCCCGCCTACAGGTACGTACGCACACACACGCGCCCGCCCCGCTCCGCCCCGCGCGCCGCCGACCCGCCGCCCGCCCAGCCCGCCTACAGGTACGTACGCACACACACGCGCCCGCCCCGCTCCGCCCCGCGCGCCGCCGCCCCGCGCCGACCCGCCGCCCCGCGCCGACCCGCCGCCCCGCGCCGACCCGCCGCCCGCCCAGCCCGCCTACAGGTACGTACGCACACACACGCGCCCGCCCCGCTCCGCCCCGCGCGCCGCCGCCCCGCGCCGACCCGCCGCCCGCCCAGCCCGCCTACAGGTACGTACGCACACACACGCGCCCACCTCGCTCCGCCCCGCGCGCCGCCGCCCCGCGCCGACCCGCCGCCCGCCCAGCCCGCCTACAGGTACGTACGCACACACACGCGCCCGCCCCGCTCCGCCCCGCGCGCCGCCGCCCCGCGCCGACCCGCCGCCCGCCCAGCCCGCCTACAGGTACGTACGCACACACACGCGCCCGCCCCGCTCCGCCCCGCGCGCCGCCGCCCCGCGCCGACCCGCCGCCCCGCGCCGACCCGCCGCCCCGCGCCGACCCGCCGCCCGCCCAGCCCGCCTACAGGTACGTACGCACACACACGCGCCCGCCCCGCTCCGCCCCGCGCGCCGCCGCCCCGCGCCTACCCGCCGCCCGCCCAGCCCGCCTACAGGTACGTACGCACACACACGCGCCCGCCCCACCGCCCCGCTCCGTCCCGCGCGCCGCCGCCCCGCGCCGACCCGCCGCCCGCCCAGCCCGCCTACAGGTACGTACGCACACACACGCGCTCGCCCCGCTCCGCCCCGCGCGCCGCCGCCCCGCGCCGACCCGCCGCCCGCCCAGCCCGCCTACAGGTACGTACGCACACACACGCGCCCGCCCCACTCCGCCCCGCTCCGTCCCGCGCGCCGCCGCCCCGCGCCGACCCGCCGCCCGCCCAGCCCGCCTACAGGTACGTACGCACACACACGCGCCCGCCCCGCTCCGCCCCGCGCGCCGCCGTCCCGCGCCGACCCGCCGCCCGCCCAGCCCGCCTACAGGTACGTACGCACACACACGCGCCCGCCCCGCTCCGCCCCGCGCGCCGCCGCCCCGCGCCGACCCGCCGCCCGCCCAGCCCGCCTACAGGTACGTACGCACACACACGCGCCCGCCCCACTCCGCCCCGCTCCGTCCCGCGCGCCGCCGCCCCGCGCCGACCCGCCGCCCGCCCAGCCCGCCTACAGGTACGTACGCACACACACGCGCCCGCCCCGCTCCGCCCCGCGCGCCGCCGCCCCGCGCCGACCCGCCGCCCGCCCAGCCCGCCTACAGGTACGTACGCACACACACGCGCCCGCCCCGCTCCGCCCCGCGCGCCGCCGCCCCGCGCCGTCTCGCCGCCCGCCCAGCCCCCGCGCGCCGCCGCCCCGCGCCGACCCGCCGCCCGCCCAGCCCGCCTACAGGTACGTATGCACACACACGCGCCCGCCCCGCTCCGCCCCGCGCGCCGCCGCCCCGCGCCGACCCGCCGCCCGCCCAGCCCGCCTACAGGTACGTACGCACACACACGCGCCCGCCCCGCTCCGCCCCGCGCGCCGCCGCCCCGCGCCGACCCGCCGCCCGCCCAGCCCGCCTACAGGTACGTACGCACACACACGCGCCCGCCCCGCTCCGCCCCGCGCGCCGCCGCCCCGCGCCGACCCGCCGCCCGCCCAGCCCCCGCGCGCCGCCGCCCCGCGCCGACCCGCCGCCCGCCCAGCCCGCCTACAGGTACGTACGCACACACACGCGCCCGCCCCACTCCGCCCCGCTCCGTCCCGCGCGCCGCCGCCCCGCGCCGACCCGCCGCCCGCCCAGCCCGCCTACAGGTACGTACGCACACACACGCGCCCGCCCCGCTCCGCCCCGCGCGCCGCCCGCCCAGCCCGCCTACAGGTACGTACGCACACACACGCACATGCTCAATGTCCGGTGAGAATCTGAGAGGTTTGGTAGTCCGGTGAGACACAGGTATAACTGAGTCTCAACGCCACGTCCGGGAAAAATCGATGTAGCTCACGTCGTTTTGTATCACACGTCCATCTATCCTGCCAGGCGCCTATCACCTCAGTCCAGATATCGCGATTCCGTCTGCTCAACTCCTCTTTGGGCGCGGTCAAACGTGCTATACCCATCCTACCAGCACGGATGACCTCTAGGTCAGCAGGGAGAACGCCAGCCAGCACCGGTAAGGCCGCCGTGCTAGTGGATCGGTACGCCTTGGTTAATAATACAAGAGCGGATCGCTGCGATCTCAGTAGTACGCTACGAACTGTGTACATGTTTGCACGCTCGTACCAGCACTCTGCCGCATACGTAAGCGTGGACACAAAAACTCCTCTATAAATTAATTTTAAACTCGGATATCGTACACCCCATGATGATGTAGATACGCGAGACATCTTGCCGAATCCCTTGGTCGCTCTTTCAGAGATATCGGATGCATGTTGCACAAACGATAGTCCCGAGTCTAAAACCACGCCTAATACCTTAACGTTAGTCACAGTCTTAATAGACTCCCCACCAAGTTTAATAACGGGGGGGCGCTGAAGTTTCCCTCTAACAGTCATGGTGGTCGACTTTGAGGAGGAGAACTCCAGTCGATTCCTTAGCCCCCACTCCCGTACAAGGTCCAAAGTGACTCTGGCCCTGGATTCGATACCCGCTCTCGTACCCGATTCAATCAAGATTGTAACATCATCGGCATAGGCAGTCATGGCTACTCCCTCGGGCAGAGGGAGTCGGAGCAGGTCGTCCATCAGCACATTCCACAGTGTTGGGCCCACCACGGAGCCTTGAGGACATCCCATGGTCGACGTCTTCCACTCTACCCGGTCTCCGATGTAGAGGCCCACACGCCTGGAGGTGAAGTAGTCCACCAACATTCTATAAATGTTGGGTGGACATCCACCCCTTTTGGCCTTGACTATCATCATCGGCCACCAGGCATTGTCGAAGGCGCCGGAGATATCTAAGAATATTGCTTGCACGTAGCATGCCTGAGAATACCTTGCCGTGCTGAGCAGTACACGCAGCGCTGTTACTGTAGACCGCCCCGGAGAAAATCCGTGCTGGTACTCGGATATCCCGCGGCTAATCGCGGGAGCACATCTTAAAATTACTCGTTCCAATAATTTTCCCAAAACAGGGAGGAGCGTTATTCGACGGTATGCCTTGACGTCTGTGAGCGGCTTGTCATTACCCTTGGGAATGACAATCAGTCTTCCGTCCTTCCATACATTGGGGAAAACCCCCTCTTCCACACACTTGGCATACACCGAGTGAAATTCCCTCGGTGCCGCAATCCACACATTCCTCACGATTCTCGCACTCACTCCATCGAGTCCCGGAGCCGTGTTGGGCAAGGCCTTAACTATACCACCCAGTTCCTCAACCTTAAGTGGAGGCGCAGCTCCACCCGACGGCATGAAAGCCGCCAGCAGACGAACCTGCCGGTGATAAGGCGAGTAGCAGTCAGTGCTGTCATCCGGACAGAGCGCAGACATTAATTTATGCATCGCTGCTTCCAGACCGTCCGGGTGTACACCCGCAAAGGCGATCCCATTGATCACATTTGCAGGCGGACGTACCCTGCCGCTGGAGAGCCTGTATGCAAAGCCCCATGGGTCCTCATTGCCAGAGTTGGCAATCTTCCTGTGCTGCGACTGCTGCGCCTCCACCATCATCTTCCTATATCTCGCACGCACACTATGGAAAGCCATCCTGGCTAACTCCTCAGACCTACCTCCCAGACGCCTTTTACTCTGCCAAGCACGCCTAAGTTTGCATTGCAACTTCCGAGTTTTATCTAGTTCAAATGTCCACAATTCCCCGACCCCCTGGGGCGACGCTCCCCTAGGCCTTCCTCCGCAGAGCGAATTACGACCCCTGAGAACTCCTTCGCCAGGAGAGCCGCGGGTTTTTCTACGTGCAGCCATCCCATTCGTAATTTGACAATCGCCCGGAACCTTTCCCAATCCACCTCTCGGTCACGAAAACGGGGAGGATCCCTAACGGATGCTGCGCGCGTCGTCGGCCTGCTGGTAGTGGCCGTGTAAGTTATTAAATTATGATCGCTGGCGCATACCCCCTCGTGAACTCGCCACTCGGCAAGGTAGACGTCCCCAGTGGAGAGGGACAGGTCCACGTTGGACTCACCTCTAGGCCCAGAGAAGGTGTAGGGCTGGTCAGGCATATTTGCCAACGTTAAAGCATGAGTGATAATAAACGCCTCCATTTGCTGCCTTCGATATTGTACATTTTGTCCTCTTCCCACGTAGTGTCGGCGATCACAATACCAGAGTGGCGAGTGCGCATTGGCGTCGAGGCCCATGATCACCCTTCTGCCCTTAAGGCAACTCAGGGCGACCTCTAAGTGGTGCAGGTGGTCATCAATAGTGTCGCTAAATTTAAAGTACGCTGACACCACATAGAGGTCCCATCGGTCAACATGGCACACCACACAAAATTCGTTGCTGAGGTGACTCAGCACTGCTACCCCAATTGCTGGGTCGGCAAGATAGATGCCCGCCCACGGGTGATAGCCCACCTGAACGATCCCCGCAACCTGGGAGTACTGTTCTTGTACAAGAACAATGTCCAGGTGCAGTTCACGCGCCAGGATGGGCAGCTCAGCCGCGGCGAGCTCCCCTCGACCCAGGTTGATTTGTCCTAATCGTAGTGCCTTGTCTTCCTGGTTAACTATGGGGCTGTCCTTATCGGCAGTACTGAGTGGTGGCCACGGAACGTTGCTCTGCATACAGCCTTGCTGGGCAGTTCCTCGCCATGGTCACGTGCGAGCCAGAGTCAATTCTACTAAATCGCTTGCACGTAGCGCACTTCTCCTCCGTGGACTTGCAGGCACCACGTTCATGTCCCGCCTCTCCACATTTCCCACATACGACCTCCTTCGATCGGCAGTACTTCGCAGGATGCCCATACTGTTGACACCTCTGGCAGCACGTGACGTCCACGTAATCACACGGCTCAACCACGTCCCAGCCGATGTATAACCGATTGTATCCGATCAAGATATCTCTCAAGGCAGCCGAACATTGAAGGATCACGGTTGTCCTTCTGCTACCTCTCCAGGACTTTTTGAAAGCAATCCTGCAGTTTTCCTTCACTTTTGCTTCGGTCCATCCACAAGCAGCAAGGTTCTGCTCGTGGAGGCCGCTGATTACATCCTCATTCTTGGGGTCCTCCTCAAAACCCCTAAGAGCCACCAGTGGTAAACGTTGTCTGGGCTCCGTCACCCTCAATGTTGGAGGGGCAGCAGTCTTCAGTTTCTCTGCTGCTTCCTGGGACGTGGTTTGGACCACGACACCCGCATTTCCCACCTTCCTCAGCTTGTCAATCTGAAGCCCGCTGGTCTTGGGCCAAGCGGGCCCGGCGGAGTCCTGGCCAAAGATTTGCGAGGAGTAAACAACTCCTCATCATCCGCCATTATTATTTTATTAACTGTATCGTCTCAGATTATATACAAGAAGTCAAATCACTATCACACATAAAAACAGAAAAGGAACGCAAAATGTCAACGTCAAACTCTATGACAGATGACATCTGCCAACGTCAGTGTCAGTGTCAATGTCACGCTCAATGACGGCTGTCAGTGTCAACACAACAACACTTCCTAACCTCAGTAATAGAATAATGTTCAATGTTTTACTACTAAACTAAACTACAAGCTATATATAATAAAAGTACTTACAAGTAATTATCCATTAGTAGTAAATTAGAAATAAAACATAACACAAAGATACTTAGCTAAAATAACCACGCGGTCCGCGTGGTTCTAACCAACAAACACGTGCTTATTCCTACAAAAAGTATTTAAAAATACACCAACACAACACAGTTTTGTTTTGTACGACACAAAAAGCTATATAGTTATTATTAAACAAAAAATTTGCACAAAAGTATTAAGAAAACACAAAATTACTAGAAAATACTTCACGAGGTCACGCGAGAGCGCATAAATACGTCCGCTCAGTACGAGTACCTACGACGTGATGTGCTCTGAGGAACTGTTCGGATTAATCCCAGCCACCAAATTTCACGAACGTAAATCGCAGCAGAACTCCCGATACCATCCACACCATCTGGATGATTGGCGGTCCACCACTGTGCGATTTAGATGTTTTCTTCCTTGCACGACTTCCTTGTGGAATCGATTACCATCAGCGATTTTTCCGGACCGATACGACTTGAGACCTTCAAGAAAAGAGCCTACTCCTTTTTAAAAGGCCGGCAACGCATCTGCAATTCCCTTCCTGGTGTTGCAGTTGTTCATGGGCGGCGGTAGTCACTCAACATCAGGTGAGCCGCATGCTCGTTTGCCCCCTCTCCTATAAAAAAAACTCATATGCAGCCTCACCAGCGCTGGCCGCCCCATGGCAGCCGGCGCTTCTCGGGGGAGGACTTCTCCCCATTCTCCTTCTCCTCAGGCAAGACGCACCAAGAACACAAGGAGAACACCTACACGGCCTCCAACTCCACCGGCGTAACGGGCCCTTAGGGCCTCCAGAAAAATCGAGCCCTTAGTAGCACCCGCTTTCTCGACTCCAGCGGCGGATCTGGTCACTAGCTCCACCGCCAACCAAGTTTCGGCCGCGGAGGGTAGGTAGAGCAGCGCCTCGCAATACCGATACTCCTCTCCGCCGACGGCCCCACCACCGCCGCATCAACGGTGCAGCCCCGTCAGTCGCGGAGGATAGGGCGAGTGGCGCATCACCATACCAACACAGTGGTAGAGCCACGCGGCAGCTTTTGCTGTCGTACGGATGGGCCGGCTCGAACCGGGGTGGTACCACGACCTCACAGAAAACCAGCGTGAAGTAGAGGTTTACCTCTGCGTTTCGCTTGGTGAGTGCAGGTGGCCGGAGGCCCTTTTTACTGGAAATTAGGCATTCCATCTTAGTCCTCACGGGTGACAACGCATCTACATATTGATTTGTAATAGAGGATAGATGTACATGTCTATGGGCCACAGCAACCACTTACCATCAGGTGAACTGTGTGCTCGTTTGTCACCCTTATCCTATAAAAAAAAAACACTCCTCTTCCTCCGCGACTTCACCTCGGCTGCAGCGGTAGGGGGAGAGGACATCCCTCTCGCCGCAGCCCACCGACACACACACGAAGAAGAGTAGCCACCTCGGGCCGGCCCTACACCACGGGCCAAAGGGTTCCTCTTTGTTCACCGCGGTGATCAAGCCACGGCTACTAAGCACCCCCGCCACGACAAGGCGGGAACCCGTTCGGGAACCTATGACAGTTCATAAGATACAGCCCGCTGACATACAGACGAACAGACAGCGGAGGCTTAGTAATAGGAACCCATTGATTACCCCTTGGGTCCGGAGCCCTAAAAACGAAAGCTATGCTTTAAACGTTACATAGTTATATTGCAAATAACGATTTATTATTTAAGGTATGCCAGAAGTCGACGTCAAGCCGGAATCGGGTGATAGGTCAAATTATAATAGTCAAGGGAAAAATATTTAAAAAAAATATTTTCTATATTTTTTTTAAAAATTACAGGCATTTATAAAAGAATCGAGAAAATCTCCATCCTATGGTCAGTCTTTTAAGTCCTGTTACTACATTTTTTTTATTTTCTTTTTATTCCATAATTATTATGTAATAATTAAAAATTCTTTCTAGACCGACTCCTTGGCAGAAAATGAGTCCTAAATAACTATTCATATCAGGAGCCTTTTTAAGATAACCCTGCTGGAATTAGATTTTTTCTAGAATGCACCAACTAGCTTCCTTTACCTAAACTTCCACGCTGAATACAGTGAATCCGTAGATTGACCTCTCAGTCGAAGTTGGACTTACCTATTGGGACTATTTATCAGAGGTAAACATACTCGTCAACAACGTAGTGCTCCCAACATCTACCGGCATAGATGTGACATAGACGTTACACGTGACTGTTGTTTTGTCCATGTTCATCTTAAGACCTATCCGTTGGGAGACACTAATGAGGTAATTTCACAGGGAATTGCTTCCAACATTGCAGTTACTTCATTAGATTTTCCTACTTCCCCACATACAGACGAGGTCTGCATATGGGTAAAAAGGTAGTACATTTTTACATTGTCCCTATATCCCAAGTAATTAATTATACGATAGTAATTTAATTTTGAAACGGATCAGCAACGTATTTCTCCTCTCATACATTGTCTTTAATTTCTAGTGCTGTCGAAGAGGAACCGATGGGAGAAGTAGAAGAAGAATGGGCCGAGAACCAGTTCCATAACAGTGGCGTGCTGGGTTTGCCAACGCAGAGTATTTACATCCCGCCCGCCAAGTTTGCTAAGCAGATGCGCGATGATGGTGATCAACATTTTACTCTTATCCTTTGTTATGTGTAGAATAGATATTTATAGTATTTTAGCTTTAGGAAATTTCTTAAAATCATCAGTATCTATGGAATAAGCTAAAAAACTGTATAAGAAGGTTAGAATAATATAAATGAAAACATGGTTGAATATAATAAACCCTGGGAATGAGGTAGTCGCTTCCAAGTTGTTTCTTAAATAAGTTTTAAACATAATTTGTACTATCTGTTTTATTGTATAATTTTACTGTAAATAAAAAAGGTTTCTTGCTAGTTCTTCCCAGGAGGGAGGTTTTTCCGAACCAGTGGTAAAAGAGAAAAATTTACTTTTAATAAAAATTACTTCTAATCTATATTGAATAAAATTATGTTATTCTGTTAAAAAAATATAGATGTCGATGGGCTACAGTATCCACTTACCATTAACTGGAAGGTGTGCTCGTTGGTCATCCTTATCTTTTAGTAAAATGTGTGCGTGTGCATGCGTTCGTACGTGTGTGTCTGTGCGCGTGTGTGTACGTTCGTACGTGTGTGTCTGTGCGCGTGTGTGTACGTACTTGCGTGCGTGCGCTTGCATGCGTAAGTGCGTGTGTGTACGTGAGTATGTTTGTGTGCGTGCGTGCGTGCATGTGTGTGCGTGTGAGCGTGCGTGCGTACGTGTGTTGTGTGTGTGTGTGTGTGTGTGTGTGTGTGTGTGTGTGTGTGTGTGTGTGTGTGAGCGTGCATGTGTGCGTGTGCGTGCGTGTGTGTATGCGAACGTGCGTGTGTATGCGAACGTGCGTGTGTGAGTGCGAGCGTGCGCGCGCGTGCGCTCGTGTATGTGTGTGTGTGTGTGTGTGTGAGCGTGCGTGCGTGTGCGTGCGTGTGTGGGTGCGCGTGTGTATGTGAACGTGCGTGTGTGAGTGCGCGTGTGTGTTTAGAATGAATTATTAACATCAGTTTAATTGCTTGGATTGATTGACACTACATTATTTTTTTCTTATAGTCGTATGTCTTCAATGAATATGTTTGCAATATTTTATTCATTAAATAAGTGTTCTGATATAATCAAATTAGTAAAATATTGCAAATATATTTATTTTATTAAACTTCATTGCACAAAGATGTACAAAGGTAGACTTAATGCCTTAAGGCCTCTGCCTCGAATCTTGCGGGCAGCGGGGCGGCAGGATCTTATGCGATCTTAAGGTCACAGCTCATTAGAGCCACCCGGCACCCGACCCTCATCACCATTTGTATGGTGGTTCTTCGTATGGATTTGAGCGCGTGCGCTTGGCTCGCACCTGCGCTCACTACATCAACACCGTACCATCACCGGATCGCCTCGCTCGCGAGGTGTCCACGCGCAGACTGCGAGTCGACCACTCGATGATAGCTCGCTGTTGGCACGCTTGCCTCGCGTGAAGCGCGAGCTGGCAACGCACGGTTCTCACGAGTGTGATGCGGCGCTCTCCACCAAGCCACCAAACCTTCATTTCGAGCCATTCTTTCGAATATGTTGGACGCATCGTTGTTTGTTTTTTAAAATGAATAAATAAAAACTTATAGAAGAAGTTCGGAAGTATGAAGCAGTATGAATAAAATTTGCCCTCATCGGCTAACAAATGTCTACGAGAGGTCCAATATTCACCGTCTTTTTTTTTTCTTTAAACATTTCCTGCACCCAATAAGCTTTCTTTTTTTGTTTCGTCTTTCATTTTCATCATCATCAAGACTAACAACTATGAGGGCCAATTCACGGATTGTAAAATTTGACATCACTGAACACACGTCCACACCTAGGGCCAAACGCTGATAGACTACTCGGAAATTCGTTGGTCACGCGAGGGTCACTCGTTGACGACGCGAGATCCACATCACGTGAGGTTCACTGGTGACAACGCGGCGACCACCCGCGGTCCACCTGTCGACTACGAGTGGACGCCTGGCGACGAGGCGATGAGCATCGGGTGCCGGGTGGCTCTAATGAGCTGTGACCTTTATGCGGCGCGGGGGCGGCGCGCGGGCGGCGTGCGGGTGGCCGACGAATGACATAAGAACTGAATTTTTAGAATTAGAAAGGATAAGACTGCTGGAAAGTGATTTATCAAATCAAAGTAGAAACGAGACTTCTAGACATGAGAATAAGTCAGACGACTACTACTTTTTAATGAGTTTGCTTCCACAAATGGAAGAATTCACGCCAGTACAAAAGTTAAGAGTAAGACAAAAAATTAATCAAGTTCTTCTAGACGAGTTAAGTGTAAATGGAGGCATATACCCTTCTAATGAATCATATATGTATGGGTATAATACTCAACACTAGGTATAATATCAACCTTATAATAAAAAATACTGTCAAATAATAACAAAACTGTGATTGTAGAAATAACTAATCATCATCCAAAAAAAAAACTGTGATTTTAGAGATAAATGACTGTAACTGCGATTTTAGTTATAAGGTTATAATTATCAATCTTTAAATGCGTTTCAAAAACAAACTGTTATGTTACTTATTTCATACGAAACGTACCTATATTATATTCAAAAAATGTTTTCGTCATAAATAAATGAAAGGAGCCGCCGCCCCGTCGCCCCTTCATACCCCGTTCCGCCCACACACCGCCCGAACATCACGTGATGCCGCTGACCAATCGGCGTGCAGCACACCTCGTAAGACTACGCTCATGCCGAGACACCCTCCACGTGAATATAAGAAGGGTGTTTTAGGGTGTTGTAGTTGTTATTGCCGCTCTTTGTAAGTAGTGTAATATATAATCGTCAAGAGTACCATCTTTTCTTCTACAACGTCGCTAGTGTATTTCACCCCTTACCATTATACGTATACGTATTTCATTAAAATGATTATATCTGCTGTCAAATTATTTACTAAATTAGTGCAACACAATTTTTTGACACTATGAATAAATACAATTTCAAATTACAATTTCGTTGTTTTACTTACCCTAGCGTCAAGTATAATTTTTCTGCTGGAGATATACCTCCTCGTTTTGGATTAATCCCAGACTCTCAATCGCCCTTGATAGCTTCAAGAATGTAGTCAAAAGTTTTTTACTTATTCTGGTGTAGTCGTAGAATTTCTCGGGATATTGTCTCTGTTATTCATAATTTCGATAAAACTCTCCTTTTCTTTTCCTTGTCCTATAGTAGAAATTCACTTCTTCTTTTGCCCACAATAAATCGAGCGTTAGGAATAAATTTAAATCAAAAAGATGTCGTCGCCGTTGTTCAAACATTCCGTTCGCGACTAAAAACAAATATCTCGACAACGCAACCATGTACACATCACTACGCCGCTATAGTGTCGCGCGATCTGCCGTCTGGTTTCGAGAACGGGTCTGCGTTGCCCGTCCTGCTCCCGCGTCGCCGCCGCAGCCGCCGCCCCGCTGCCCGCAAAATTCAAGGCAGAGGCCTAAGGCGTTCTCTACCAGTCAGCCTATGAGTAAACAGATAGCATTAGTTTGGAGATGCAATATGATTTATAAGAAAAATAATTATGGGGCAACAAAACATTCTATAAAAATTAACAATTATATATCCATTAAAGATACAGGAATGTGTTGTGAGATCACGTTGGTCGGTTCCCAGAGGCGGGGTGTGGGTGGGTGTCGGCCGCTTCTGCGCACTACGTGGACGTGGAGGCAGCTGACTGGGCGCTGCCCGAGGAGGCCTTCCCGCTGCGCAGCGCGCCCCCCGCCCCCGACGCGCACCTGCCACACCTGCCACACCTGCCGCATCTGCCACACCTGCCGCACCCGCCGCCGCACCCCTGCGACGAACACGACCTCGATGGAGGTGATGTGGTTCACTTCGTTTTTTATTTATTAGAGAGTAGGTTTTGATGATATTTTTGTTTACGAACGACCGAACTTTACAACCGAGAAAGACAACTGCTAGGACTGAAATCCACCTATGAAATCGAATGACGAAATTCTATGAAATCATAATTCTGTATTTCCTTGTCCTTCTTCAAAACTGAACTATTTTTTATACTATATGTTTTTTTATGTCTATACAGGGTTATTTTGCAACATATGACCAAATTTGAAAAGAAGGCTCAGACTAAAAAAAATCCCAAATATTCTGTCCTTTTTATCTTCTAAATTCAGAATGCGTTTAACTGATTATTTTAACTGATTGTCATTTATAAATATCTAACTCCTACTATTTTACTACGCACGCACAGATTCGTAAGGGTCGCTCAGTTACTAAATTTAGATTCGTTGGCGCGCGCCTTCCCGCGCTTTTTCTCGCCTTCCCGCGCTTTCTCGCGCCTTCCCGCGCCTTCCCCTTCCGTTTACCGTTACAGTGCTAGGAATCTACGTCCGCCTCAAAGATGTTTTATAGGTCCAGATACCGTGTACGCGCGCCTAAAACGCTTCCATTTCAAAGGCGCCAATACTGGTGTATTCGTTCGATCGTTCCGCCATTACGCCAGTGACGTTCACTGCGAACATACGTCACGCACCGGTGTTTTTAATTTCGTAAAATGACTGTTATTGCTGTAAAATCATGTAAAAATTACTCTTGGAAAAAAGATAAGATAAGAACATCACTTTTCATAAATAAGTATATAATTTTATGGCGTATTTCTTTGCAAAAAAATACGAAAAATAAATGTCAATACAAGTAATAATTCTGCGCAATAATATTCGAGTGTTGCCTAGTCTATGAAATGTTTTTACCATTTTTTAATGTCGTGATCAACCGGAAAGTTTATCTGTATAGGGGTTTTAAACGGTCTAATTTTACAGATTTTACCCAACCTATAGAGTGTAGTACTCTGTATATATTTAATAATAATAGATTATAAATATATGTTACGTACATAAATATCTACTGTGCTTTTTTATTTATTTTTAACTGTTACATTAATTATAGGTTTTATTACATATCTTCAATATTTTAGTGCGATGTTCACACATAACCAACCATTTCCCCTTACACACATGCACACGCCTCGCACACACATTTTATACTCGTAGAATCAATAGGTACGTCAATATGAATGAAATATAAAATCTCCCACATATTTTGGGTAATCGATACGCACTGTTATTACCACATACGCACATTAATGCAGCCATGGTGTTACGGCCAGCAGCTGCCCCTGCAAAGGTCGAATATCCCAGAGCCCGTGAGCGGAAGATTTAACGGGCAGCCGCGGGTTCGAGCCCAAATGGCCATATTGGAAACTTATCCTATCCTACTACACTATAGGGAGAAGGCTAGTCAAATAAATAGTACGTACCTGGGTTGAGGCGAAGACTGTCCCAAAGGTTCGGTCAGGCCGAAGGTGTGTAGGTGAATGTGTAGTGGTGTGGATTGTGGTTGACCTGACTGGACCGTTGAAGTCGGCAGCAACCCAGACTCCGGCACCGCTCCAAATTGTGGTAATCTCCAACGGCGTCACCCACGGTCAATTTCTTTCTTCATGTCACTATTTCAGTCTATCAACCTTTATCGTACAGTTAACTAAGTTTAACTCAACTAATACAACGTTCATCGGAGAATCGAACACGTGTTAACCGACTCAAGTAACGCACAGTAGTTCAATGTTCAACATTCACTATTCCGGATTCATTTATCACCAAATTATAAATCGGGAACTAACGAGATCTCTTCACGTGTCACAAAGTTCAGCGTTACAACTACAATCACTACAAGTTACGTAAATTACTTACCAACGAATTTAGGTTAATCCATCAAATTATTACTGTTTCGTCATCGCGTGAACGCAATAAGGATACACAAACTAGAAGCTAAAAACTCCAATAGTAAATTCCACACGCATCAAAAACCCGGACGTTGGTTGCAATCAATATTAATTCTAAATAATTAATCAAACCGGCGTCTATTTGTCTAGACTTAACAAAAACCTCGTTGTTGCATCAATTTGCTAACAAAACCGACTTTAAAAAATGGAGGTTATCCCGGGTGACCTCACGACGTGCGATCGACAGCACTGTATTCAAGCAACTCCGTTGCACTCACGTTCTGCGCTCGCGCCCTCTGCCAAACCCACTCCGCTCGCCCGAACGTCAAAACCGATATGGCACCGAGCTGAGCGCCCTCCGGCGTCAGATCTTGAAACCAGCGTTTGGGCGCGAACACAGGATCCGTAAGATATGCGCGTCACGTGGTGTCACGCACACATGAATCAAAGACTGGCGTCACTATGAACGGTGCGATGTGTTAGCAACACGGTATCTGGACCTATAAAACATCTTTGGTCCGCCTATATTAGTTATTATAACTATTTACAAGTAAATTATGCAAGTAGTCCCAACTTCATAATTTTGTTGTAAATAGTTTATTCCAATTTCTGTAAATATGCCATAATAATGACTGTCGTCGGTTCGGTCAGCAAATATATATATATATATAATAATGTCCTCCAGACAGAATTTCGGTCAGGACAGCCAGTCTCAACGGAGACTAGCCACCTGCGCAGGACAGGATTATAGTGCCCAAGTGTATGCACAAGCACAGATGCGCTCTCTATTCTCTCACTCTCTCCTCTCTCTATTTTCTTAGAGGTATTAATATGTCATGACAGTTTGTCCATGTTGCAGTAGATGTCGCTATTTTTAAATTTAGCCATGCTAGGCCAATTAAGAATCAAACAAATAAATAAATAGTTAAAAATATAAACGAACCTTGCTAACTTACTATTTTGTTACAAAACAAATTTGTAATTAAATTGTTAGTGTAATTTATTTATTTTACATTTATTCAAGTGAATTATTATGATTTCGCCGTTGCAAATAATTTTCTCAATTCAGATTTAAATTAGTTTCACATTTTTGTAATATTTTGAACTATACATAATGATATGTAACTTTAAAAAAAAGATAAAAGATTAAACACATTACTGTTTTGAATCTTTTTCACTTATTTTTTTTTCTTTTTCACTCAGTGTTTGAAATAATAGATCACAGGTGATGAAGTCGGAAGCCTGTAATCAAATAGTTATTCTATTAGTTACTTAATTGATTTTAAATAAGAATAAATTGTTAGTTGGAGAATTTACTATTATATTTTTTTTAAAGTAAGAATGACAAACAGCCACACGGACCTCTTAAGTAACTACTTACATCGACATTTATTCTCTATTGAGAATCGGAATGTTGTCTCCTTTTTACGAGGTAGAGCCACGCTGCAGCTATATTATGGTTGTAGCACGAATGGACCACGCTCTCACAGAATGAAGCGTAAAATAGCAGCTTAATGCTGCTGTGTTTCGTATGATAAGTGTAGAGAACTGGAGAGCCTTTTTATTGGATACGAGGCATTTCAACCTAATCCTCAGGGGTGAACAACGCATCTGCATTTTGATTCTTAATCGAGAATACATGTAGATGTCCATGAGCCATAGCATCCACTTACTATCAGGTGGACTGTGTGATCGTTTATAACCCCCATTATATGAAAAAAATGCGTGAGTGTCGTGGAACACTCGGTTGGAACGAAGTTCCTTGTGTAGTATATTATTATTGATAAACGTATATTATACAAAATAAATGGTGTTCCTTACGGAAGTATTTAGGTCCTATATTGTTTACTTTATACATTATTGATATGGCCGATATGATGTATCATGCTACAAAGATATTAAAAGATTAAGTAAAATTTGGGATGCTCTTCATTAAAGTCATATCTTACAATGCTCGGGACTTCCTTGCTAAATTCGCACAAAGTTTGTTAAGTGGGTTCGTTGTTTCAAATATATCAATCACACTGTAGACATAATACAAGTGCTACTTGGTTGGTCTTGAGTCGAGGAACTGTATCGCGTGTTGCAGGTGGCGCTGGTGGTGCAGCAAGCGTGGGCGGCGCGGGGGGTGCTGGAGTCAGCACGGGGGGCGGTGCGGGCGGCGGCAGCTCCTCGCCCGGAGGCTCCAGCTCGGTGGGATCAGGGGGCTCGGGGAGCTCCGGCGCCACGCACGAGCAATCGCACAGGACATACGGACAGCAGCACTCCATCACTGCCGTCAGTGGTGCCGATTATCTTTTCAAAACAATTATTAAATGTTTTCACAAAAATGATTTTAACATTGAAACTATTGAGGCGATGACCATGTCACAATAAATGACAAATGAAGTCGAAACGACGTTCTCTGATCATTAACTAATGATCGCATACATATAGTTTAGTCACTGGATTTTTTTTTTATAATGATTATAATTTTGATACATTTCTTGTTTTAAACGAAGATTTATGGGGTCAAGTATCTATGTCTACACATTATTGGAGACGATCGCAAATTTTCGACTCATAATAATAACTATTTACTTTTTTAATAGAGAATTTGAGAAAAATATGTATCTACTATTTTTAATTTTTTTAATATTCATATACAAATATTTTATTGAATTAGCAAGATCACATTTCTATTTATTGTAATCAGTCAACGCCACCCTGTATTATATTAAAATACTGATAGACGTGGTAGAGCCATACTTCAGCAGCTATATTTCTGGTATAGTTGTTACACGAATGGCTCGGCTCGACCGGGGAAGGACCACGCTCTCACAGAATACCAGCGTAAAATAGCAGCTTAATGCTGCTGTGTTTCGTATAGTGAGTGTAGAGAACCGGAGACCCTTTTTACTGGAAACCGAGGCATTCCATCTTAGTCCTCATGGGTGACAAAGCATCTGCATTTTAATTCCTAATCGAGGATAAATGTAGATGTCTATGGGCCACAGCAACCACTTTCCATCAGGTGGACTGTGTGCTCGTTTGTCACCCTTATCCAATAAAAAAAAATCTTATTATATCGAGAATATCCGACATTGAAAAGCACAAACTAAGCGTCTAACATTCGGTGGACAAAAA